TGCTTGGCCTGCTGTGTTCATCCAGCCCTGCACCTTGTTGTCTCGGATTCTCCAGCATCTGCAGTTCCTACTATCTCAAAATCAATGCAATTTGTTATGACATTAAATGACCCAGGAACCGTGAAAAATACTTTATACATCTGTTAACTCTCTTCTCAAGTCTCAACAACTCTATGTTCTATGATGCCTTTAAACATAAAATTTCTTTTCATTCATCAAACCTTGCTCATGTGTAGATAAGCAATGGAGGTATTGTTGGAAGATCAAAGATTAATGTCCATTTATTTCACTTCTACCATCCCATGATACAATGATGATGGAGATCTTTCTAATCACTGTGATTGATCTGTATCAACGAGTCTACAAAAGACCCAGAACATAAAGCAAGGAAGCACATCAATTGATAGAGAGATCTGGGAGCCAATTCAAGGTGATCTAATGCTCCTAATCATGCTGCTCTCACCACATTGTCTTTTTAATCATTCAGTTAATGATGCTATCCCTTAAACTTCCCATGCATGAGGCACTGAAATTCCTTCCCTTCACCTCTCCCTCACTCTGTCCTCTGAGATGCTCCTTAAAATTCATGTCTTTAATCAAACTTTCCGTGCCAATTTTAATATCTCCTAAATGCAGCTCTAAATGATGAAGCCTTGCTTTATGAATTATTGCAGTGCATAGTTCCTAATGTGTCATCTTACTGCAGTCGTTGAACATCATGAGATTACAAGATGTTTTACTGAGTTCAGCTTTATGATGCAATTCAAAAGACAAATGTGAAATGTCACAAAAAGTTTCAGTTCTTCATCTTTTGGAATCACAGCGTCATGATTTTATTGTTGTGAAGTATCTTGCAACGTTTCCAGCAGTGAGAGCTCTCTCTAAAAGTGTTGTCCATCCAGGAGAGGTTAGTGATAGATTTCCTGCTAAATTTGGGGATGATTGCATTCAGTCCCATTTGTCATCTTGTTCCTTTAGGACCCCGCAGGCGACCACCGCGTGCAACTAAGAGGATCCTTGTTCTTCTCTGTGCAGTCACCATTTTCTCTGCCATTGTAGTTGGAATATACTTTGCAGGTAAGATGATTAAATGTTTGTCGGAGGAACACTGCATAAGATGGGGTATTTTGAAGGGATTATCTCAAGTTTTACATTATCAAATTGACTAAGTAGTCACACCCCAACGTTGCCAGAGAGTTGCCATTCCTCCTTCCTGCACCCCTATGGATCACTTATACTGGGGTAATAACTAACAGAACAGCAGAAAATGCAGCTCTAAATGATGAAGCCTTGCTTTATGAATTATTGCAGTGCATAGTTCCTAATAGTGTCATCTTACTGCAGTCGTTGAACATCATGAGATTAGAAGATGTTTTACTGAGTTCAGCTTTATGATGCAATTCAAAAGACAAACGTGAAATGTCACAAAAAGTTTCAGTTCTTCATCTTTTGGAATCACAGCGTCATGATGCTACAGAAGAAGATCAGTCAGCCATCGGATCCATGTTAACTTCCTGCAGAATGTCAATCCCATCTCTTCGCTTCTCCTCACAGTCTTCTACGTTTATCTTGTTGAAGTGCACATCCACTTTCCTTTTGAAACCATTGATCATTATCATTTTCACTATCCTTGTAGGCAGTGGGTTCCACATCATTGCCACTTACAACATTCAAAAGTCCTTCCTCATATCCCCCCGCATCTCTTGCTCAAAATCTTCAACCAGAAGTGGTCGAAGGTGGGATCCTGCTCCATGAACGTCCAGAATCCATCAGTGCCTTTTCAAGAATGCATATCTCATGTGTGAACAGAGTATTGCTAAAAATATGATCAGGATTATTAGTTGAGGTTATCTCTCCTCCCTTACCCAGTGCAGAAAACAATTATGCCTCTATTTCAATCCCATCCATTGATGGCAGTGCTCATGGCCCTCAAGCTGAGTGGCTTGCTGGACCATTCCAGAGGGCAGTTAATTGCTGTGGATCTGGAGTCACATGTAGCCCAAACCAAGTGAAGGAAGGCAGATTTCCGAACTAAATAACATAAGTGAGTCCGATGTATTTAGAATCCCTACATTGTAGGAACAGGCCCCTTGACCCAACAAGTCCATGCTGCCCCTCAGAACATCCCACCCAGACCCATCTCTCATAACCCACCTAATCTACACATCCCCGAACACTACAGGCAATTTAGCACAGCCAATCCACCTGGCTTGCACATCTTTGGACTATGGGAGGAAACTGGAGCCCCCAGAGGAAACCCATGTAGAAACAGGGAGAATGTGCAAACTCCACACAGACAGTCGCCCGAGGCTGTAATTGAACCTGGGTCCCTAGCGCTGTGAGGCAGCAGTACTAACCACTGAGCCACCGTGCCGCCCCATGTTTCTGTGACAATCAGTGGTCACTATTACCGCGATTAGTTTTGAATTCAAAGATTAATATTTTCCAAATCAACCTGTTCAAAGATGTTATTACAAACCTCTGGAGCAGATGGGACCTGAACCCAGACCTCCTGACTCCGAAATAGGGATGCGTGTCGGCAATCCCTTGCTAATGAGTAGGATTGTCCGCCTAGGAAATTCCGTGTCACTGGTGATGGGTTCTGTGGGTCCTTGTGTGGCTGATGAGACTGATCCTAGAGCTACATCTCTAAACACACATTTGACAGGTGTTTCTGGGTGGAATTGGTCCTTGGCCCTGAGATTATTGACATTTCTTTGTCTGGTTCCTTTTCCATACTCCTCTTGCCGATGGGTGTTCTCAAAGAATTGTGTCCCTTCATACAGGAGTTTCCTCCAAGTTGGTTTCTTCTGAACAAGGGTTTCCCATGCGTTAACATCTGTGTTACATTTCTTGAGGGAAACCTTCAGGGAATCTTTGAAACACTTCCTTTGTCTTCATCACGTCTGAGTGTCTCCATTAAGCTGGGCGAAGCAGATTTGCTTCAGTAGTCGGAACTCAGGCATCATAAGCGTGTGGCTGGCCTAGCAAGGTCCGTTTCAGATTATCATAGCACAAATGTTGCTGCTATTGGCTGCTTCAAAGATGCTGATGTTAGTACACCTGTCATCCCAGCTGATGCAGAGAGTCCGTCTCAAACAACATTGGTATTTCTTGAGGGCCTTGTGAGTGGCGTCTACATGTAGTCCAGTTTTGGAGCCATACAGAAGACTTGGAAGGACAACTGCTTTATGCACATACACGGATGTCACAGTCATCAAAGATTCTCATCCTTAGGTGTCCAAAGGCAATGCTCCCAGATCGGATGCCATGTTGAATCTTTGCATCAATGTCAGTCTTAGATAAGAGGTAGCTTCCCACTTAGGGGAAATGTTCAAACATTTGGGAGGATTCCTCCAAGGATCTTAATGGAGGGATGAAGCGGTTGAGATTGAGGCAGAGACCAATTCTTCAGTACCCCTCCATAAAGGTGAGGCATGGAGATTGTTTCCCAAGAGAACAGAGATGACCATCATTACCCATGTGCTGAAGTTGTACAAGTTAGGTCGGTGTTGATTTTTCTCGGGTTTCAACGAGTTGAGTTTGAAATGTTTTTGCATTCATCCTGTCGACAATCCCAGCTCACTGGGAAGCTTGATCTTGACAAGATGAAGGCTGGTGGCAGGAAGATGGAAGAAAGAGTGGGGCTCTGCTTGACCTCAAAGGATTCTGTCAAATTACTATCAAGGGTGAGGACTATTGCTAGCATCTTGTCATCCATGGAGGATATTGATGAATTTCTCCAGTCACTTTTAGTGAGGCTAGCTTACAATTCAAGGTTTTCCTAATCAACCTGTTCAGAGATGTTGCTACAAACCTCTGGACCACGCGGGTCTTGAACTTCGACCTCCTAGCTCAGAGGTTCGGACACTACCATTTTGCCACAAGAACCCTCAATTCAAGATTTTAGTTCATTGAATTTCAACGTCATCAGCTGCTGTGATGGGTCCTGAACTCATGGCCCTGGAGAATTAACCTCGTTCTCAGGATAGCTAATACAGTGACATTATCGTTATGCTGTAACTGAGTTACCTCCATAGATCCTGGTGACCAAAACCAGGAATCCTTACAAGAGCATGGAAACAAAATACTGAGGCTGACAGAAATCTGAAATGAGGACATAAAATGTTGTAAATGCTCAGCAGGTCCACAGGCAGCATCCGTGGGGAGAGAAACAGAGCTAACATTTCATGTCAATTATATTCCTGAAATAATGTGGAGGTGCTGGTGTTGGACTAGGGTGGGCAAGGTCAAAAATCGCACGACACTGGGTTATAGTCCAACAGGTTTATTTGAAGACACAAGCTTTTGGAATCTCACTCCTTCTTCTTGTGTCAGTGAGAGAGGTGGCATCAGACACAGAATTTGTAAGCAAGAGTCAAAGGGTCATAGAACTGATGTAAATGTATTGAATAAATCTAAGATGGCTGTTAAACCTTTAATAAGTTAGAAAGGATTAATATGCAAATTCTAGAATTTCTTTCAAGTTCCTGCCCTGAGATAACTGAAGGTTTTATCAGTATACCAGAGGTGACCTCTCAGGTCAGACATTGCATTTTATGAGGCCTTGTTTATAATCTGGCTGTGTATTAACTTGGAGTCAAACTCATTTTATTTCCAAACTAGGAATTTATAAAATGCTACATTGACTGTCTACAAATTGTGTGCTTTCTGAACAAAATTGAATGTATCTGCATTTTACAAATCTGCCCAAATGCAAATTCACCCCATAGATTTATGTGTGTGAGACCATCCTCATGGGTACCGAACATGGCTATCAGCCTCTGCTCGGTGACTCTGCGTTGTTGTGTAGCCTGAAGTCCGCCATGGAGGATGTTTACCCAAAGATCTGAAACCGAATGTCCTTAACCACTGAAGTGTTCCTCCACTGGAAGGGAACACCCCTGGTCTGGCAATTGTTGCGCGGTGTCCATTCATCCGTTGTCGTAGCGTCTCCATGGTTTCGCCAATATCCCATGCCTTGGGGCATCCTTGCCTGCAGCGTATGAGATAGACAACATTGGCTGAGTCACATGAGTATCTGCCATGCATGTGGTGGGTGGTGTTCCCACATGTGATGGTAGTATCCATGTCATTGATCTGACATGTCTTGCAGAGGTTGCCATGACAGTGTTGTATTGTGTTGTGGTTAATGTTGCCCTGAAGGCTGGGTAGTTTGCTGCGAACAATGGTCTGTTTAAGGTTTCGGGGTTGTTTGAAGGCGAAAAGTGGAGGCCTGGGGAAGATCTTGGCGAGGTGCTCATCGTCATCGATAATTTGTTGAAGGCTGTGAAGAACATGGCGTAGTTTCTCCGCTCCCTGGAAGTACTGGACAACGAAGGGTACCCTATCGGTCATATCCCATGTCTGTTTTCTGAGGAGATGATTACAGTTTTTTGCTGCGCACATCGGAACTGACGATTGATGAGTTGAACATCATATCCCGTTCTTATGACGCCGCCCTTCAGCACCTTCAGTTATCCGGTGCATTTCTCCTCATCCAAACAGATCCTGTGTATGTGTAGGGCTTGTCCATAACGGATGGCTTTTTAAATATATTTTGGGCGGAAGCTAGAGAAGTGCAGCATATTCCTGGAAGACTTTGGAGAGGCAACGAGTGAAGGTGGAACACCCCAGGAACTATAGCAGTTCAAAAGGCTCCCCACCCACTTCTCCAGCGCAATTAGGGATGGGCAACAAATGCTGGCCTGTCCAGTGATACACCCACATCCCATGAATGAATTATCAAAAAAAAGGATTTAAACAAATATAGAGAAAGGAAAATACAGGCAGGATGGGAGGACAGAACGTAAGGAAAGGTCAGGTCTATGATTAAATGGTAATTAAAATGATGGAACAAGTTAAGAAACAAAAGTTGAGTCAAGAGGAAGGATAAATTTCAACAGTAGAACCAGAAAATCTGAAGTCTGAATAAAATGAGAGCAGTGATCAAGATCTGAAAATTATTGAACTCGCCTTTGAATCTAACTCTTAAACCAGTTTCACAGGATCTTGGAATCTATTTGGGTTGGTTTTTATTTTGCAACTAAAGGTGAGGCAAGAATGCAAATATTTTCAATCACACCCACTTGAGCTCAGCTAAATGTTTTACTCAATGGTTCCACACCTAAGCACAGGCTTGCAGAGCTCCATTCAAATATCTTCTCTGCTCTAACACTTACTGACAACCTCTGGTGCATTGAGGATTGTCATTAGCTTCTGGCTGTTTGTATCTTTTCCTGAGTTACATTCAATACACAGTACAGAAAAAGGCCATTCAGCCAACTTACCCATACCACACAACCATGACTCCACCTTGCTCCATTTTATCCTGTCAGCATTTCATTCTCTTATGTGTTTATCTAGCTGTCTAGTTATCCAGCATAATTTTGTTTATGATAGATTGGGAGCTGAATATGGAGACAATAAGGACTGCAGACTCTGGAAGCCAGAGTCTATAGGTGTGAGGCTGGAAAAGCACAACAGTTCAGACAGCTTCTGAGGAACAGGTGAATCAATGTTTCAGGCCTTGACGAAGGGTTTCGGCCCAAAACATTGACTTATCTGCTCCTCGGATGCTGTTTGACCTGCTGTGTGTTTCCAGCCTCTCCCCTGTAGACTCTGGGATCTGTTCGATAATAATGGTATTAGCACAATAGAGAGGGATGCCATATGTTCAGGAAACCAGAATGTAGAAGTAGTTTGGGGAGAGATGAAGACATTGAAATCCCTACACTGCAGAAGCAGGTTATTCAACCCATCGAGTCCACACAGGCCCTCTGAAGGTCATCCAACCCAGACCCAGACCCATACCCCCCAGTCTTATTCCCTGTAATGCTGCATTTGCTATGACTAATCTACCTAACCTGCTCACCCCTGGACACTGTGGGCAATATAGCCAATGGCCAATCTACCTTACCTGCACAGCTTTGGACCATGGGAAGCGACCAGAGCAAACTCCACACATTCAGTCACCTGAGAGTAGAATCAAACCTGGTTACCTGGCACTGTGAGGCAGCAGTGCTAACCACTGTGCCACCCATTAGAAATGATCGATTCTGTTGTGGGATTGATGTGTAAGCGCATGGAAAGATACAGCAAGAATCATGGGGGGTTTTAACCCACTGGAGCAATCAAATGGACAAAGGTAGTTTTGAGGAGATCATAGAATGCTTTCAGACTGTACATTCTAGAGGCAACCAGAGAGCAGGCTATACTGGACTTAAGTCTCATCAAGTTGCAAAATATTATGAATAGTCTTATAGTGAAGAGATTATAAGTAGCTGTAACCATAATACAATCAAATTTTACATTCAGTTTGAGGGAGAGGGGTGTGGGTCCAAGACTTTTATTTCAAAGTTAAATGAATGTAATTTGAGAACATGAAAGCAGAGTGAACTGGCAAAGTAGGTTAGGGAGCGAGTCAATAGGTTCAAAAAATTAGATACATTCCAATGAGAAAGAAAAATTCCAAAGAGCAATCCGACTATCTTCAGGTAGCTAAAAGAAGTCAAAGATCATACTAAGCTTGAATATAATTGCACAAAGACAGGTGGTAGGTCAGAAGATCAGAAGTCTTGATCTGTATGTCCGTACAAATAGTATTTACCTCAACTGTTTTACGTATAGTGCGTTTCACATTCTAGCCACTCTCTGGATTTAAAAAATTGTTCTTGAATTCCTGATTAGAACTACTAGTGCCAATCTTATATTTATGATTTTTATTATGGGATTTATTGACAAATTCAAACATTTTCTTCATGTCTAACCTATCAAATTCTTCCACTATCTTAAAAATCTCTGTCAGGTACTGCATTTGCAATACAGAATGGCCATTGTGGTTATCCCCGAGCCCAACGGTGAGATGGCACTAGCACCTAGCTCTGAGAGTGTGGCAGAGCCCTAAGCACTTTTTGCACCTAATAAAGATGCATGACACAAGCATATACAGTTTCCTTTTCATTTCTTGCATATACGCCAGTTAACTGGATACAAATCAATTGCAAACAGGAATGTAGAAAGAAGCCATTTTTCCCATCTGGTCTGTTCTATAGAAACATAGGAGATAGGAGCAGGAATAGGCCATTCAATATGATCATGGCTGATCATCAAGCTCAGCACTCTAGACCTGCCCTCCCCCCTTATCGGTTGATCCCTTTAGCCACAAGAGCTATACCTCCTTCTTGAAAACACACAATGTTTTGGCCTCAATCACTTTCTGTGGTATTGAATCCCACTGGCTCATCACTCTCTGGGTGAAGAGATTTCTCCTCATCTCAGTTCTAAAAGGTTTATCCCATATCCTGAAACTGTGACCCATGGTGTGGTCACTCCGAGCTCAGGAACATCTTTCTACAACTAACCTGTCTAGTCCTGTTAGGATTTTAAACATTTCTACGCAATTTCCCCCCTCGTTCTTCTAAACTGCAGTGAATATAATACTAACCATCTATCTGTCATTTGCTCACCTGCATTCCATGCTTTCAGAGAAGCAAGACCTATTCGTCTTGAGTTTTACAGCTATTAATGAGTTTGAGTAGGCTGCTTTCTGTAGGAGACAGTTCCTCACTTCAACTACCTTCTGTGTGAAAAAGTGTTTAATAACTTCTCTGATGAATTGCACTGGTTCTGAGTTTGAGATTATTACATCTTCTTCACATAGATTCTTCAAGGGGGTCTAAAAGATTGTGAGGTTTTGAGTGAAACTACAGTGTCTTTGTTTTTCCAGGAATCTGTGAGTTTTGGATGGTCAAGGAACAATGGCTGATGAGCTGATGCAGTCATCATTTTGTTTCCACCAATGAAAACCAGCCGAAAAATTATTTTTGTCTCGTCTTTAATTACAAGTCTGGTTTTAGTTGCACTCAATCCATCAAAATAATTTTATATAGAACATAATGTTTCTAGGAAGTGCGACCTTTCTTCAATAAAATGGTTAATATTTTCTACTTGTGTAAATAATGTTAGTAAATGTTGATAGGTTTGGGAGTTGGTTTGTTTAATAAAGCTTAAATCTGACACCTCCTGAGGGCTTAAACTTTGCTGACGCGATAAAAACTTAACCACTGCCCGAGATAGTATAAAACAATACTGGACTGAGATGTGTGGGAGGGCAGGATTCTATACAGGAGATTAAAGCATGTATTTGCTAATAGTAGCCACTCCTTAGCTTAGTCAACATCACCGAATATCCAAGTCAAATCTGGGGTCATAAAATTGCAAGAGACTGAAAACAAAATTCTAATTTAAGATGACTTAATTTTTATTTAGTTCATTCATGACATGTGGTCATCACAGGAAAAAAATGAAACACTGGAATAAACTCGCCAAACCTTGCACCTTCCAAACCTGCTAATTCTGCCAGCTAGAAGGATGAGGGCAGCAGACTCATGGGAATATTGCCAGCTGCATTATCCCCTCCGAAACAGGAACTACATCACTGTTCCTTCGCTGTCGTTGGGTCAGAATCCCAGAACTTCCTTCCTAACAGCACTGCAGGTGTTTCATTGAGCCCTATGGACTACAGCAGTTCAAAGAAAGCAGCCCACCACCACTTTCAACAAATGATGGTCTTACCTGAAATACACACAGAAACCGTCAGCAAATTTTTAAAAATCACATGCAAAAAGCATGACTGGCAACTGTCATCGCCTGTACTTTCATCTCATGCAGAAGGCAATATTGACCTCATTCTGTCCTTGATTAGGGAGAAGAATGGTAACTGGTTTGAGACCAGGAGAACTCATTCGCCCGCCTCAAATGCAATCATTGAAAGAAGCAGTAGTTTAGATTTAGATTTTAGATTTTATTGTTACGTGTACTCGAGTACAGGACTACAGGGAAAAGTGGACAATTTCACCACACATGGCACCATCTTAGGTGCCAAAGTGCCTAAGTACAAAAAAAAATAAGGTACAAAGTAGTAAGAGAAGCAGAGTTAAAAATTTAAGCATTACTTCATAGAATAGTAGAAAAATAAAGAAATAGGTAATAGTTTACTTTAAAGTCTTTCATAATTTAAGTTGGGAAAATAAAGTTCCTTTATCACTCAGTCAGTGTCTTTGAAACACATGGGTCTATTGTCAAAGGTCAATGCTGGAGATATGGGGCAGATTAATAAAACCCTCATGACTTCTGACAAACCAATGTGTTACCCAATGTAATTCATTTTCCGATTATGGCACTGCACATAAGGAGTAAGTGTTAGATACCCAAGGCCACTGAACTAATCTGACAACTAAAATCTCTTTCCTTTTAATGCTTTTTTTTTGTTCTATGTTAGTGAAGCATTTGGAGAGACCGATTGAGAATAAAAACTCCATACCTACTGGAGGTAATGCACCCACAACTCTCTGCAACAGAACAGACACATATGACAGCAGTGCAACGTCAAGCCCAGGTTGGTATCTTCTGTAGTTCTGTTGGAAAAGACTTGGCTTTACGTATTTGTAAACATTAAGTGAAGGTTAACTGTACCAGAGTGCGGCTCTGTTCATCCCTCTTAACTATTGATACTTCAGCCAATGATTTTCTTTTTGTACTTGATTGGTTCAAAATGGCTGATCTGTAAACAGTACAGGAGTTGCTGTGCTGCTGGAGCTAGGTTGCTCTGGGTGTGCTCCTGGAGTTTATCTGTTTTTGAAGACTCTATTCCTGGAGTTACTGTACTCATAGAGTTAGTCTGCTCCAGTTGTTCTGGATTTATTTTGCTTCTGGAGCTGATCTATTCCTTGAGTAAGTTTGCTCCTGATGTTACTCCACTCATGCTTTGAGTCTGCTCCTACAGTTAGTTGGTTCCAGGTGTAAGAATCCAGAAAGCTCCTGCACAGAATGATTTGAGGTCCTACTGCTTGAATCACAAAAAGCTTGCATTCAAGTTCAAAGTTATTAGTGGAGGCAATGAAATATTGCCTTTATTTCACACAGACTGGACAATAAAAATGGTGAAGTTTTGCTAAATCTATACAAGACACTCGTCAGATCACAACTGGAATACTTCCATCAGTTTTAATGCCCTTATGTAAGGAAAGATATCCTGGCATTGGACACAGTCCAGAAAAATTTCACTCAGTTGACCTTAGTATGGAAAGATTTTCTTATGAAGAGGAGTTGAGTAGGTTAGGTCTGCATTTATTGGAGTTCAGAAGAATGAGAGGAGACCTTATTGAAACATACAAGATTCTAATGGGGCTTGATGGAGTAAATGCAGAATAGAACAGTATAGGACCAAAGGGAATAATCTCAGAGTCACCAATTTAAGACAGAGATGAGGAGGAATTTCTGCTGTCAGAGGGTGGTGAATCTGTGAAATTCTTTACTGCAGGGGGCTATAGAGATGGGGTCATTAGGTACATTCAAAGCTGAGATGGATGGATTTTTAATCAGTAAGGGGAATCGGGATTAGCGTGATAAAGCAGGAAAGTGGAGTTCAGGATGATCAGATCTGCTATGTCTTCATTGAATGGAAACGTGACCTCAATGGGCTGAATGGCCTACTTCTGCTCCCATGCCTTATGGTCTTGCTCCTGTTTCTGGGTTCACACTCCTCCTGATGTTAGGCTGCTCCTGGATTTAGTTTGTTTCTGGAATTACTCTGCTCCCAGAATCAGGGAAAAGGCAGGAGATGTGGTATTAAGTCATAATGTTGATTCAGAGAGCTAGTAGATGACATGATTGACCAAATGGCCTCCTTCTGTACTCCTGCTGTCAGTCTACTCCTAGTGCTCGCCAGGTTCGGACAAGCTACTCTCAGTGTTCCTCCTGAAGATAGTGAGAAAATAAAATAATTTGAATCAAAAAGAATCTAACTCAACTGCATCACAGAATGAATTCTGCTTTGACTATCATTGATTTGTGCCCAGTCTCTTTCAGAATTAATACTGAGAACTCTCTACTAGAGATACATCACCAGTCGAAGCAGGCCTGGCTTCCCGTGTGTGATGCAAGATGGAACTCCTCGCTGGGTAAACTGACGTGCAGATACATGGGACGTATTAAGTACGCTGTGATTATTCACTCAATTCGCTACTGTGCAATCAGAATATCTGAAACTTTTCTCAGGTGTATCCCCTTGCCAGCCCTGTGCGAGATAAACCTGAGCTTGATCAGGTGAACCTCATTGACCATTCCCAAGTTCCCTTGAAAATCTCCAACGTTGGGGGTCACTGGTCGTCATCCACAGTGCACACAATAAGGGGCAAGCAGAGACTAAATAAGATCAACTCCGGTCAGAACCCAAATTATCCAATTCCTTGCTTCTGGTTATCCTCACAAACTCCTAGGAATGAGATAACAAGCTGTCAGGTACTTACAGGGAAATGTTCAGGGCCTGCAGAATGTTGAAGACAGAATAATGAATCACTTGTAGTAAGCTGTGCACAGAGTGCATTCCATAGTGTTATATGTAAAGGATGAATTCACATTCTCAACAGTATTGTCCAGCAGGAACTTTAAGTACAGAGTACTGCATGGCACATGCTACTTTATTTACAGGAGCCTTTTCAATCACAGCTCCACACAATCACTAGGACAACCTACTTTCAACTCCATAACAGCACCTTGACTTCACACTTGCCTCCATTCATCTGCTGCAAAAACCCTCGTTCGTGCCTCTTGGTCACTCCTAGACTAAATATTCAAAAGCCCACCTGCCTGGTTTCCCACATTTGCCCTCTGAGCACTTGAGGTTATTCAAACTCTGCTGGCCATCTCCTTCAAGGCACCACATCCTTTCCATCTCGGTTCTCTCTGATGTACATTGTCCTCTGGTTAAGCAAAGCCTTAATTTTGAAATTAATGTCCTTGTTTTCAAATTCCTTTAGGATGTTTCCCCTGTCTATCTGTTTTATCACCTCATAACCCACTTAAATATCTGCGCTCCTTGAATTCCGGCCTCTTAACCATCCTTGGTCTTAATCACTCCTCCGTTTATGATTGTGCCTTCAGCTGCCTGGGTCCTAATGTACTCCACAAAACTTCTCTACAATCTCTACTGTTCTTCCCTCATTTAAGATGCTTATTTAAAACCTACCACCTGAACTAAACTTTCTGGCCAGCTGACTAATGGCACTTTATGACGCTCAGTATCTCATTTTGATTTAAGGAACTTTCAATCAAACTGCCCAGGAATATTATGCCACACCTCTGGAGCAGGTGGAACTCAGACCTCGATCTCCAGGCTCAGAGGTAGGGGCACTACCACTGCATCACAAGAGCCCTCTTACTTTTGATCATTCTTTTCTTTTTTTTTGTTTTATGCTGTTTGTTCCCTTTTAAATCCAGTAATGCTATCACACGCAATCAAACGGCTTTCTCCATCACCAAATCACGCATTAACCACCTCTAGTCAATTCCCCCTGTTTCCAATTGTTCAATTTAATGCAGACCCCACTAACGACAATACACTAACACCAAACGTGAGTGAGAGATAGGGAGTGAGGAAGGGGCTAAATCAAATTGGAATTGTAAGCGGAGATAAGGCACTCCACCCACAGTGGTGCCCACCTCTCTCTGAAAGCATTGAGTATCAGGGGACCCCGCATGCTCCCTCTCCCCTGGTTATGATTTATAATTGCAAATGTGATTAACCACAGGGATCTCTGTGAGAGAGCAATTGGTTATATATAGTTTAAAGGGTGCCACTCCACAGGCATGGGGGCAGATGAGAAGATAGCCCTTTCTGAACTAAAATGGCTAGTACCTTTACTGTTGGTATCAGTCAGGATCACACTCTGAGCCGACAGACCCTCACTTCATAATGCTTCACAAAGTACCATATTATGTTAAAGGATTCAGAACAATGTAACATGCTGTTGTAGATTGGTTTATAATGTACAGCCCTTTTAGCTTTGTTATACAGGACATCATGTGTCTTGATACACATCATATAGCACCATGATTTCATGAAGATCACAAAGACTTCTTTTAAATCATGAGAAAAGCTGACAGTGAGTAAAAAAAAAAAACAGCCTGCACCACTTCAGCTTCTCAATTTAGCAAAGCAAAGCTTTGAGGTTTATTTAGTGGCGTAGTGAGAATTCCATACAGTTACTGTCCATCACACTCCCAATCTGCAGAATCTTCACACATTAAACAGGGTGAGATCCTCAAACTGCGGTCCAACCATAGTCCCAAAGATTTAAAGTATAATAGGAAGCTGATCTGCCTCCATACAAGATGTCACAGTTGAAGAACAGCAAAAGAGTGAGATGTAGAAATGTTGATGGTTTACCTGGGAATGTTGGTTGCAAATTGACTTCGCTAGCATTCTTCCATCGATGATGGAAAAGTCCAGGAATGGGAGGGTTAACTTTTTATAAAGAGCCTTTCAATAGATGGCTAAGAGATCAATCTGTGAGAGACACGTTCTTTGACAAATGCTGTGTTTGAACTGGTGGTTGCGTGTTTGAAGCAATGGCCTCTGTTACTAAACTGCTGAGCCTGGGACATTGTAAATTAATGGGAACTGAATAAATTCAGAGGGTGTGACATCATTCCAAACATTTGTACATTATTCTGCAGGTACCTGAATTCCAGTATAATAAGTGTGAGTGAGATTGGACCCAACTACACACAAGGATTTGCTGAAATCACTGATGGACACAACAGAAATTTAGAGAAGATCTGGGGCTACAGGTTTGTATCGTTCCCTCAGATCTGTGCAAAGTTACCTTTACACTAAATCCAGGGATAAGTAATCAGCAATTATGAGGGTAGAAAGAACAAGTTTCTTAGGAGATTCCTTTGAGGGGAGATTTAATAGTGGTGTTCAAAACCATGCAGCGTGTAGACCACAGCAGTTCCCATTGGCAGAAGGTTCTAGTGACACTGTCACTAGACTATTAATCCAGAGACCCAGGTAATGTGGAATTTGAATTTAATATATTTTGTTAAATTATCTGGAATTAAAAGTCTGATAATGATCATGAAATCATTGCCAATAGTCAGGAAAAGCTCACCTGGTACACTACAGTCTTTTAAGGAATGAAACTGCCATCCTTACCTGATCTGGCCTACATGTGACTCCAGACTCTCAGCAATGTGGCTGACTCTCAACCACCCTCTCTGCAATTAGGGATGGTCAATAAATGCAGGCCTAGCCAGTGACACCCATATCCCGTGAATGAATAAAAGAAAAATCATGGAAGTTCTCCTGGCCAGCATTCATCTCACAACCTTTACAAAGGCAGATGATTTGATCATTATCACAATAGTGTCTGTGGGAACTTGCTATGTACAATTTTGCTGCGTTTGACCTACACTATAACAGTGACTATACTTCAAAAATTGCTTTATTGTTGTAAAGTGCTTTGGAACATCCTGAGGCTGAAGAAAGCATTGTATAAAAGCAAATTTTTCCTTCATTTCCAAAAGCACTCTTGTTAGCATCAACCTAAACCAGCTTAAGAGAGAGATATAAAATACATCCATCGTCCAGTTAGTTGTTAATTCCTTTTGGTGACAGGTGTTTGCAATCCTCACAGCATCTAACTGATAATTAAGTCTTCTTGTTTTTTTCTCCAGGGCTAGCTGTGCATCTGGAAAAGTAATAAAACTGAAATGCTCTGGTAAGTGCAAGTGTTCAAAATAGAATCTTTAATAGGCATTGCTTCGATTCATTGCTCTCAAACTGTGAAATGTATACCACCTCAAATAGCACTGGAAAACATTAATGTTTCACCTTTTCAAATTCTCCTCAAAGTCACACGGCACACTGACTTGGACCTATATTGACTGTTCATTCATCATTACAGGATCAATATCCTGGAACTGCTTGCCATCACTGCTGCCCTAAGTATCACAAAGACCCCAGGGGTTCAGTCATAGAGACATACAGCATAGAAACAGACCCTTCAGTCCAAACAGTCCATGCCAAACATAATCCCAAACTAAATTAGTCCCACCTGTCCGCTCAGAGATAGTAAGAACTGCTGATGCTGGAGCCAGATATAACATAGCGTGGAGCAGGAGGAACATAGCAGGCCAGGCAGCATCAGAGCAGGAAAGCTGATGTTTCAGGTTGGGACCCTTCTTCAGATCTTCCTCAGAGAAGATCTCGATGAAGCCACTCTGCCACAACCAGGCATATTGAATTCATTCCCAGCACAGATTGTGGCAGCAACAATGGATGGATTAAGTTTGTGTTAGTCATTTTGGAAGAGCTTGGTTTTAAAGAGATCCTGATCCCACACTTTGAGACAAGGACGAGCCAGAAAGGAACTGTGTCATTGCAAAATACATTTGACAAACAATAAAATGACTCAGTGATTTTTGACATTATCCTTTCACTCACCCAATTGAGAAAGTTTACACAAAGTTAGCATCATGATGTTTGGTGAAAGGGGTGAGTGAATGAAGGTGGAAAACTAACCACTTTGCATGGAATATTTTTGTTCAGGTTTGCATTGAATAAGATCACACAGATTTTATGGCAGAGAAACAGCCCATTCCATGCAAACTGATCTGCACTTTGCATGAACCACCTCCCACTTTATATCATCCCACCGTATCAGTGAAGCACTCTATCTGTTTGGATATTCTGGAAGATTCTTAAAGAGATTTTTCCAGGATCTGATCTGAGATGTCTCCTCAGGTCTCACTATTTGGTGGTGCACTGTGTTTGTACATATTGCACAAGGGTGACAGTGCATTGTAGTGACCTGAGCATTTTTAAATGGCAGTGTTTGTGAGTATCACTAGGTGGCTTACAGCACCCACACATGCAGAGTTAGAACGACCTTTGATGCAGTGTCAGTGAAACAGAAGATATTTTTCTAACGTTCAAAGGTTTAGGGTGATTCAGGAGAGTGTTTTCTTTGATTCAGATGCAACCATATAGCAAATGGTCTTAGAGTTAGCAGTACAGCCTAGATTAGTTTTACCTCAGAAGGTTGAATTCACACCACCATCAGTCTGGGAGCCATTACCATCTGTACCCTGTGTTATACAGCAAAGCTAACATTGCTTTGGAACAGTGTGGTATTTGCAACACCGGTCATGATGCCTGCATCCAATCTTCACTGCTTTGACAGAGCTTTGTTCAAAAAGCTGGTCTTTTTTTTTCCCGTTAATGGCAGGAAGTCACAGGTGCGTATGCACAGATGGATTACAGTAATTATTTTTAAAGTCAGCACCCTCTTTTCTTAAATTCGATCATTGGGTGTGGGTTTCACTAGCTGGACCATCATTAATTGCACATGCCTAATTGCTCTTGAGCTGAGTGGCTTGCTAGGACATTTCAGAGGGCAGTTAAGAGTCAACCACATTACTGTGGGTCTGCAGTCACAGGTAGTCTAGACCAGGTAAGGATTTCCGTGCCAAAGGATATTAGTGAACCAGATGGGTTCTTCTTTTGTTATGGTTCACCATTAAAATAGCTTCTAATTACAGACTTTATTTAAAAAATTGAATGCCAACAATCTGTCCTGGTCCACCCACATTGACACAACAGTCAAGAAAGCACAACAATGCCTCTGATTCCTCAGACTGTTACCAATTGCTACAGATACATCATAGAAAGCATCCTATCCAGATGCATCACAGTGTGGTATGGCAACTGCTCTTCCCAAGCTCAAAAGAAATGACAGAATGTCATGAACACAGCCAGTCCATCACACAAACCAGCCTCCCATCCATTGACTCCAACAATACTTCCCACTGCCTTGGGAAAGCAAACAACATGATCAAAGACCCTCCCACCCCAGTTACACCCTCCTCCACCCTATCCCATCAGGCAGAAGGTATAAAAGTCGAATACACATTACGAATGGATTCAAAAACAGCTTCTTTCTTGCTGTTATCAGACTTTTGAACGGACCTCTCAAATGTTAATTCTGATCTCTCTCTCTGCACCTTCTCTGTAGCTGTAAGACTGTATTCTGCACTCTGTACTCCTACCCTGATGCACTTTGTATGGTACGATCTGCCTGTATAGCATGCAAAACAACACTTGTCACTGTATCCCAATACATGTAACAATACATCAATCAATTCATGATTCAATCATCTGCTATGGTGAGATTCAAACCAATGCCCATGAGTTATCAGTTCCCTGAGTCCATGATATTACCACTATGTTGCAACCTCTGCTACTTTTCCTGTTTTGCGAATACCCACTCCATAGAAAATCAGGGACAGGAATCTAGGACCAATGACCAGAGAGCTATTGAAGTAATCCTAAAAAGCTACCAACACTCTAACCAAACTACAATAATTCAGCACAGGTCAGACATTTTACCTGGGGTCTTCCTTGGCTCATATTGTCCATACAATGTAGAAAGTCTGTTAGTCCATTAAGACACTGGAGCAAAGTAGCGATGCTTGACTTGCAAACATTATGAGTGATGGTGCCATGATCTCTAACTGGGACAACCTGCTGTAGTCAAAACAGTGGCCTCTCATCCCATCTATTAACAGTCTGCTATCGAGGTAACTGGCATTCAGGGACTCTGCCTGTGATATATTTGCTTAGGCAGTAGCACTCTTAAGCTCTGACTTCTGTATTCAAGTCCCACTCTCAGACTTGGGCACAAAAGTCAAAACTGACAGCTCAGTTGTATAATCAGATGTGGTGTCTTTTGAATAAGGGGTTAAACTGTGGCCTCTTCCCTGCTATTGAATGGAAAAATATCCATGGCAGTATTTTGAAGAAGAGGTTATCTGGTCATGATCATGTTGTGAGATCTTGCTGTGCACAAATTGGCTACTGCACTTCCAACAATACAACAGGGACTATGATTCATAAATACTTATTTGATTCTAAATTGCTTTGAGGTGTCAAGCAGTTGTAAAGAGCTCTATCTAAATCCAACTTTTAAAATCTTTTATTTACTCTGTCTCGCAACATGAAGACTGTGGGGAGAAGCATGACTTTTCCATGATCGTTGGGGGACAGGAAGCCAAAATGGGGAACTGGCCCTGGCAGGTCACATTGTACAATAACTACCAACATATGTGTGGAGGCTCCATCATTAACCGATACTGGATCATAACTGCAGCACACTGTGTATACAGGTACATTATCCATCAGCACAGAAGATAAAAGTTAAACAATATTTTATGGATAATTTATGTCTCAGTCCATATTCAGGTGGAGAGGGTTAATGGTTAAGGGTTCTGCCTTACTATTCCTGGACATAATGGAAATGCATGTGTAATATCAGCAAACTTCAACCCCTACCCCTTACCTGTGAATACAACACTAGGTCGCATAGCTAAAAGTGATTGATTTTACACACATCATTCATTTTATATAATTATTGAGAATGCAGCTTGCTTTCACGTGTCACTGGACTTTCGTTCTCTTTGCTGCAGTTGTTAGAGAGTCATTATAAATGAACTCTGTAGACTGTTTAATGTCATACACTGATCAAATAGATTCTGCTGAGTAAATAGTCTCTGTTTGTTCGAAACAAACATTGCTCTAAGGACATTCTAAACCCCACCTCACCTCCACTTCAATGTCTAACAGAGGTTACCAACAAATATGTGTTTCAATAGACAAAATATGTCTTCTTATGTTCTTAAATGCAAGACATTTGAGTATTGAGAAATAGAACCACTGTCATTTAATGGGAAGATCGAAGCATGGCTTCTTCATCTAAGATACAATGTAACAGATGAGTAACCCTTCATTTCTTTTTCTCAATAGTGTAAATTTGTGCCAATACAAGTGGGTCATTCTGTATGCATAGATTTGCCATTTCTATATTATATACTTATACCTGCTTAATTGTTCATGATGGAACTGTGCTGAAATATTCCTGCTCAAGAGATCTTATCTGGCCTACTGATTGTTTCAAATATTTTCTTTCCTCTATTGCATATTTATTAGGAGCCAGGATGAAATCTTTGATATAGAATATATGTGTTCTTTTTCAAACCATTATCAGTATATTCCAAATGGGAAGATATGTGTCTTCTCTCACCACTTAAGCATCTGTCCTAATTAATAATTTAGCAGCAAGCTTTTGTGAGTTTAAAAATAAATAGTTATTTATTCTCACACACTTAGCCCAAGTAGCTGCAATTCTCTAACACTCAAGGATCAGATGCAGAATACAGTTAATACAGTCTTTTTTCAAATGGATTTGATTCTTTAAAATTGAGGAGAGTTTTATATAGTAAAGAGATATAGAGAACCCTAACACCTTAATTCTCAAACACACTCACAAAGATCAGATACAGATTACAGTTAACACAGATTCTGGCTTCTTGAGTAGATTTGATTCTGTAAGATTGAAGCAAAGACCTTATAAAGTGCAGGGATCACAGCTCATGAATGTTTCCTGCAGCCAGGGATGGTTCTCAGGGATTCCCTTTGAAACTGAAACATGTTAAGTATTTCAGCTGCTTGAAGGTCTTGCAGCCTATTTCTGAGTCTGGTTTACAGACTGGCTGAACTGATAGTTTGGATGGCTCGCATCCACAAACTGTTCTGAGTTAATCTGTTATACAGACGGAGATACTATGACTGTCTCACCACGTGGCTTTTCACAACTTCACAGCCTTTTCCAAATGAGGTGTGGTGTTCATGTTGATCCTACACCCTGTACTGCAGGGTTGACATTTCTGAAGTCCACCCTGTCTCGTGCAGATGGAGAAGGCCATCATGATACAGTGGGAGACACTCATCAACTCTAACTGCAGGGAACTTTGAAACATGCGCAAAAAACAGAAATTGCTGGCAAAGCTCAGCAGGTCTGGCAGTATCTGTGAAAAAGGATTCAGAGTTAACATTTCGGGACCGGTGAGTCTTCCTCAGAACCGGTCACCGGACCCAAAATGTTAACTCTGAATCTTTTTTCACAGATGCTGCCAGACCTGCTGAGCTTCTTCAGCAACTTCTGTTTTTGTTCCTGATTTACAGCATCTGCAGTTCTTTCGGTTTTTACCTTGAAACATGCTGTGATCTCTTCACTATATAAAACTCCCCTCAATGTTTGAGAATTAGAGTATCGTTAATCACCTCCATCTGTAATAAATTGAATTTTGATCTTTTCTTTTGTCCAGTATGAAACTGAGACAGGCAACACATCCTTAAACAAAGAGATGTGTGAATTCCCCAGATAGTAAGGTAACATAACCCGTGCCCATACTGATTAAGTGTTTGTCAGAAACTTGATACTTGACTGTAGCTCAAATACCAAAGATCACATGATTTGCAGCAGCCATTTTAATAGTTTGTATGTATCCAACTTTTAATGGTATTACCTAAAAGTTATGGTGTCCCTCTCCTGGGCATAACAGATATTACAGTTCACACTCTCTAAAATCCAACATCTAGCAACTAAAACCCATTTCATGTCAGGTCCTCTGCAGAGATCTCTTCTTACCATGCAGATTGCACAGGTCAAAGCCCTGACTTACCATCTGGCAATTAAAAAACTGAAATCATGAGGTTATCAATAGGCAAGGTCACAAAAGCAAAGTGGAGAGGTGGAGTTAAGATCAGCCATGATAGAAATGAATGGTGGTATGTGTTCAAGGACAGAATGGCCTCCATGTGTGCTTTGAGATGGTTGCACTCCCTTTATCTGAACTCTTGAGAATTCCAATTATAACTGGTCCAGGAATGGTTGATGTGCCTTCAGCTGCTTGGTGCTAAGCTCTGGAATTACCTCTCTAAATCTCTCTGCCTCTCCACCCATCATTCTTTGAGATGGTCTGTAAAACCTATCTCAGTGGCCCTGTTTGTGAATGTCACCTTCTCTGGCTTGCTGTCAAATTGTGTTTGACGATTGCTCCTGTGCAGCATGTTGATCTGTCTTACCACTTGCTGCAGAAGTCATTATAAAGTGAAAAAATTCAAGCAGAATTAGACAGGGTAAACACAGGAAGGATGTTCCCAGTTACCGGGGAATCCGGGTCCAGGATTACAGTTTAAAGATACAGGATAGGCCATTTAGGACTGAGGTGAGACTCAGAAAGTGGTGAGCCTGTGGAATTCTCTGCCACAGGAAGTTATTGAGGCCAAAATCGTGAATGTTTTCAAGAAGGAGATATATATAGTTATAAAGTCATACAGCTCAGAAATTGACCCTTTGGTCCAACCAGTCCACGGCGAACACAATCCCAAACTAAACTATTTCTACCTGCCTGCTCATGGTCCATAGCCCTTCAAACCTTTCCTATTCATGTGCTTATCTAAGTGTCTTTTAAACATTGTAACTGTGCTCACATCCACCCCTTCCTCAGGAAGATCATTCCACCCACGAACTACCCTCTGTGGAAAAGATTTGCCCCTCATGTCTTTTTTAAATCTCTCTGCTCTTGCCCTAAAAATATGCCCCCTAGTTTTGAAAGTCCCCCATCCTGGGGAAAAGACACCCACCATAGAGCTAAAGAGATCGAAGGGTAGCAGGAACAGGGGACTGAGTTGGATGGCCAGTCATGATCATATTGAATGGCAGAGCAGGCTCAAAGGGCTGAATGGCCTACTCCTGCACGTATTTTCTGTGTTTCCATGTTTCTTCTAGAACAGCAGGACAGCTCACCATCCTTTTCTGTTTCAGGTCACCCCATCCCTACAGCTGGTTGGTGTACGCTGGCATTCTGGATAGGCAGGTCATTCTGTTCAGCAGTGTCACCAGCTATTCAGTCGAGAAAATCATTTACAACGATAACTATGATGACGACACGCATGACTCCGACATCGCCCTCATGAAGCTAAAAAAGCCAGTGGAGTTTTCAAGTATGAATGTTTGTTTAATTTGGGAAAGCAGATGGTTCCTTCCTCTGACAGAATCTGTACAATGAATCCCTAGAAAATGTCAGCAGAGGCAAATTATTTTCTCTTCACCTCCATTACCCAGTTCTCTGGCTTCTACCTTCCACAGAAGGTGCTAAGCTTTAATGGCTTGTGGGTGCTTTTGTCACAACCAGCTTTCCTGTACTCATAACTGAGCTGAGGCACCAGTTACTCAACTGTGGCGAGATCAGTTGCTCGACCATGGCAGGCATCACAGTGGAGCCCAGTCCCATCGTCTCTAGACAGAGATTTTCCAGCAGTAAGTAGTTTGCAACAAACTGGATGGACAGATGGAATTTAATATGTTCCCACAAGTTTTTGTGCAAGTTTTTGTGGAGGGAGCAGAGGGGCATTTCATCAGGGGAACATCACACTATCTTGCCCCCCTGCCACAATTAAGTCGAGGAAAGGAGTGTTCATTTGTAGATGTCCTTCCTGCTCTGCAGTCAAATGAGGCCTTGAGGCATCACCCCTTAATTTACCCAGCAACAAGGCAGAAACCTTGCTATGAGCTAAACCCAAAAACGCAAACCCCATGAAGGTTGTTTCCAGCTTCTGTTTTGTTTTTGTTGCGGGTGGGGGGGTTCATTTCAGACACTCAGTGTGAGAATGGTAGGTTTTGTCAATCTATAACAAGACGAGCAGCAGTCTTGACTCTGATGAGGCAGATTTGAAGATCGCAGTCAGGATTTTGTGCAATACAGACTCTGTAAGAGGTAGACTGTGCTACAAAATGCAGTTAGAACCTGCATTGTGCGATAGTTGGCTTGGGAGGTGAGTCAAGTTTGAATTGGGTTGAGACGTCTTCCAGTCCAATTCCCACTCAAAACAGAAAAACGCTTGAAACGGGAAACAAAAAACTGAACCACAACCAAAAGCTGAACATCAATGGGATAAAAACACAAACACAGCAGCTACATTGCTGAATCTCCCCACAGAATAACAAGGTTTTAAATCCCCTACACATCAGAGGTATTTGTAAAAGGCAGGACCATTGGAAAATTTATCATCAAACTCCCCAGCATGAATTACTTGAGATTACAGACACAAATTTAAATATAAGTAAAAGAAGTGGCGCTTTGGTTTGAGTGCAGGAGATGTGACCCCTTGCTTCAATCGTTTAGGTAATTCATTAGACTACAGCTGGAGTACTGTGTATAGCTTTAGTCTCCTTATCTCAAGAAAAATAGTATTATTATAGAGAGAGTGTCATGAAGATTAAACTAGACTTGTTCCCAGAAGGATAGGGCTGTCTGGCAAAGACAGATTGAACAAGCTGGGTCTGTATTCTCTAGAGTTGCGAGAGGTGATCTCATTGAAATTTACAAAATACTTAAAAAGACAAAAAGGGTAGATGCAGGTAACAAGTTTTCCCTTACTGGGGAGTATCAAACCAGGGGGACACAATTTAAAAATATGAGGGATGCCACTGAGATGAGGAGAATTTTTTTTTTGCTCAGAGGGTTGTGAATCTTTGGAATTCTCTACCATAGAGGGCTAAGTGGGCTCAATCAATACAATACATTTAGGAACATGCCCTTCAGCCCACCATGCCTGCACCAAATATTAGTCCTATTTAGGCCCACAACCAATTGCCCATACACGGTTTCTATTCCCCTGTTTGCCTCCAATTCATGTGTCTATCACGTTACGCCTTAAACATTGCTAACATGCCTGCTTCCACCACCTCCACAGCCAGTACATTCCAAGCACCCACAACCCATTTTCCCTCCATTTCTCCCCTAAACTTTCCCCCTCTCACCTTGAACCTGTGTCTTCTTGTAGTTGACCTTTCCACCCTGGGATAAAGCCTCTGACTTATTCACCCTCTCTATGCCTCTCATAATCTTGTAGATCTCTATCATGTCATCCCTCAGCCTCCGTCTTTCCAGGGAAACAATCTGAGTTTATCCAACCTCTCCTCATAACTAAAACCCTCCAGACCAGGTAATATCCTGGTAAACCTTCTCTGCACCCTTTCCAAGGCATCCATATCCTTCTGGTATCATGGCGATCGGAACTGCACACAATATTCCAAATGTGGCCTAACTAAGTTTTGTACAGCTGTAATGTAACTTGCTAACGTTTATAGTTGATGCCCCAGCCAATGAAGGCAAGCGTGCTGTATGCTTTCTTGACCACCTTATCCAACTGTGTTGCCACTTTCAGGGATCTGTGGTCCTGCATGCAGGTCCATGGTCTTTGACTACGCTTAAATTGGAGAGTGAAAGATTTATGATTACCAATGAAGTGCACAGTTATCGGGATAGAGTGGGTAACAGGCATTGAAGTGTTTGATCAACCATGATTTTATTGAATGGTTGGGTGGGCTCAATGAGCTGAATGGCCTGTTGTGCTTCTATGTTTATATGCATTTCCTTCAGCAACCTCACACTGTATTTTCCTCTCACAGAGGCTGGGGTTCATTTCTTTCTTTATTTCAGATTCCCAGTCTTACCTCCGCATCTTTCCTCTTTTACAGATACAGTAAGAGCAGTTTGCTTGCCACCATACAATCAACAGTTCATACCGGGTAAACAGTGCTGGATAACCGGCTGGGGTCATGCAAAAATAGATGCTTGTAAGTATTAGAGATGCCATACAAAAATTGTTCACATCATAGATGAATCTTTGGACACAGCTCACTCATTCCTGATTGTATCTTCCAGATCAAACAGAAAATACTTTAAAGGAAGCTTCTGTTCCACTCATTAGCACCAAGATGTGTAACAGCAGCTGCATGTACAATGGTGCCATATCTTCCAGAATGTTCTGCGCAGGTTATAAGGCGGGTAAAGTTGATGCATGCCAGGTAAGCCAAGATCACAGAACATGGACAGCCTAGAGATTTGCAGGTTAGGTGAATTGGCCATTCTAAATTGCCCCATCGTGTACGGGGATTTGTAGGTTAGGTGGATTAGCAATGGGGAATGTAGGGTTACAGGGACAGGATAGGAGATAGATGTGGGTCGGACCTCTCTGGAGGGTTGGTATGGACTTGATGGGCCGAATGACCTGCTTCCACACTACAGGGATTCTGTGATTCTAGAGAGAATGCCAGTGAAGCTCAGCAGGTCTGGCGGCATCCATGCAGTGAGTTAACTTTTTGGAGTCCGATATGGCTCTTCCTCAGAACTTCAGTTATCAGTTGCAAATGTTGAGAACTACAACTTGGAAAAAATCAACACAGGCATTTTAAGCTTAAGTCTGGAATATGAGGGCCAAAGTTAGCAATCGGCTTGGTTTATATACAGAAAGTACTGGAGCAACTTTTCAGGTCAGACAGCCTGTATGGAGAGAAAAACAGTTTATGTTTTAAGTCCAATATCTTCAGAACTGAAGAATTCAAAATATTAACTCTGTTCCTGTCTCTACAGGTGCCAACTGACCTGCTGAGTTTCTCCAGCACTTTCATTTTTTTTATTTGAAAATTAATTGGCTTCTTATTCTAATAAGGTGAGTCTGTTAATCTAAGTTATTTGCTCTGGCATCAGTGGGTGGTATGCTTGCCTCTGTGTGTGTGTGTTAGAGGTTTTTGAACTTTTATGAGCAGCAGATTGAGATTTTGAATGTTTGTGAGCACAAGGGAGATGATGGCCTAATGGTATTATTGCTGTCCAGAGACCCAGATAACATTCTGCGGACCTGGGTTCAAATCCTGACACAGCAGATGGTAGTATTTGAATTCAACAAAGTATCTGGAATTAAGAGTCTAATGATGACCATGAATCCATTGTCGATTGTTGGGAAAAACCCATCTGGTTCACTAATGCCCTTTAGGGAAGGAAACTGCCATCCATACCTGGTCTGGCCGACATGTGGCTCCAGACCCACAGCAATGTGGGTGACTCTTAAATGCTCTCTGGGCAATTAGGGATGAGCAATAAATGCTGCCTGGCCAGTGATGCCTTCATCCCGTGAATGAATAAAGAGAAATAAAAAAGATTCCACATGAGGCAGCATGGTGGCTCAGTAGTTAGCATTGCTGCCTCACAGCACCAGGGACCTGGGTTTGATTCCACCCTCAGGTGACTGTCTGTGTGAAGTTTGCACATTCTCCCTGTGCTCTGGTTTTCTCCCGCAGTCTAGAGATTTGCAGGTTAGGTATATTGACCGTACTAAACTGCACCATAGCGTACAGGGGTTTGTGGATTAGCAATGGGGAATGTAGGTTTACACAGCAAGGATAGGCAGTGGGTCTGGGGGGGGTGGGGTTGGTATGGACTCGATGGGCTGAATGGCCTGCTTCCATACTGTAGGGATTCTATGATTTTAGGCTGTCAGTTGTGGTGCTGAGGGAGCATTGCATTTTCCAAGATGGTGAGAGGTTAAGCTAGAGCCCTGTCTGCCCTCTCAAACGGACGTAAAACATCCCATCACAATATTTTGAATAAGAGCAGGAATTTCTCTGTGGTTTCCAGGTCAATATTTAGCCCTCATTTAGCATCATCACAGCAAACTGCTTGGTTGCTGTGGGATTGGTGCTTTGTCACACAGTATCCCTGCCTCTGAGCCAGATGTTCCCAGTGCAAGCCCCACTCCAATATTTGATTCCTGCAGAAACTGGGTTTATAATGTAACTGAACAGGTTGAATGTTGACCTGCTGAGCTTTTCCAGCAACTTCTGTTTTTGTTCCTGATTTACAGCATCCACAGTTCTTTCGGTTTTCATTAGCACAGTGCTGTTTGGGAGATCTTGCTGTGTCAGATTTGCTCTTGTCTCTTCTACACTACAACAGTGATTTCTCTACAATAGTAATATCATTGACCATGAAACACAATGCACCTTCCTGAGGTTATAAAGAGCACTATGCAAATGCATTTGTTTTCTTTTCATTTCCTTTTTACTGCATATGTTATTCAAGGAAAAGGATCAGTTTTGAGATATGTACCTGTAGTCTTTATTGGATACATGAAATATTCATAGCCTGAGTAGACTACCAATAAACGTATTATACCTAACACAGAAGTAGTACTCTCTACACTGCCATGTTTTGTGACCTTAACTCAAATGCTACCCCTACCATTGCAGTTTGTACTTCCACTTCCCACAGCCCACAGCTCTGAGTGAGACCAACAATATGCATTCATTTGCAGATAGTTTCAAGGCCTTCAGGTTTCCCTCCAAGCCACACAGATACCATCTTAAATTGGAATTATATCACAATTCCTTCAGTGTTACTGGGCCAAAATGGAACTCGTCCCCCTTGACAGTATTGTAGAAACACCTGCTTTGCCACCCACTTGTCAAAGGCAATAGGGATGGGCAATAAATACTGGCTTAGCCATTGACATGTGCATCCCATGAAAAAATAAATTAAACAAAAGGGATTTACTGGACACTGACTGTGAATGTACATTGCAGGGAGACAGTGGTGGCCCTTTGGTCTGTGAGAATGTCCAAGCGTGGCATTTGACCGGAGTAGTGAGTTGGGGCATTGGCTGTGCTGAAGCCAATCACCCGGGAGTTTACACAAAAGTGTCCGAATTCCTGGATTGGATATACAGCACCATTGAGGTAAGCAATCCACTACTAGAGAATGCAAAGGGTAATGTTATTGGTCTTATCCTTCATTAATAATAGTCATGCTCAGTAATTCTCTATCCTTTCAATCTGTCTATCTCTCAGCAACACTAGAATGAAACAAGCTTTCTAACATATTATCCATCGCTTAAAACTGACATTTCTAAAAGATGATAGAAGTGACAAGGAATGTTTCTCATTTGCATTAACATCAATTGCAAAATTGTCAGAAATTGAGTCTAAATGCTGTGTTTACTTTGGGTAAGAAATTTACTTACTTACTATTTACTTACTAGTTTGTTCAGGTATATTGAATGCAAGGACATGTAAAGTGGATAACATCTCATTAATGAAAAGTAAAATATTCAGATGCTGCAAATCTGAAATAAAAACAGAAAGTGCGGAACAGGTCTGGCAAATTCTGTGGAGAGGAAGACAGAAAGAATATTTCAGGTTCAGTGTGAGTTTTGAAGAAGCTTCATAATAAACTTGCAATGTTAATTCTGTTTCTCCATCTACAGATATTGCCAAACTTCAATTTTTCTCCAGCACTTAGGTGTTAATGAGATGTTAAATAGAAAACACTATATATATATTCACCAGAACTGGGAAAAATATTAGAAACTCAATAGGATTTGAGCATGAGGTGGGCTGGACAAGGACATAAAGGAAGGACTGTGTTATGTTAGAAGTCAGAAGAGACTGAATGAAAGAAGAGTTGGTCTTCCAGTCCCAAAGACGATGGAGATGGGGCTAGAAATGACACAAACATGCTGAGATTTGCTGCTCACTGCAGTTATTAATAAACTGGGGCCTCAGTGTGAGCCCAGCCTCTGAAGTAACCCAACAAGGTCCTCAGTTATGACCAAGAAGTCAGCTCTGCATTTCTGTAATGACTAAGGAAGTGTCAGAATTAAACTAAAGTCAGACTGGAAAATTCAGTACTTTTTTGGCTTCCTGAAGGTGAGATCACAGTCAAGGGCTTTGCTGAGTTAATCTGACTATCCCACAAAGGGGACAGGTTGCGTTCGCAGTGGTACACCCACTATAACTGCTGGGGACTTGACCTGATTTAAGTCGTCAATCTGCATATGTGCACCTAATCAGTGGCTTTCTACAAACTATTGGACCATGATAGGCTTCACAAATAAGCTGACTCACATCTTGCCTGACATCGACTTGTGCACATTCTCCATTAGAAAGCATAGGATAGTGAACGTGGGCAGTGTATTCCCTCTCTCCTAATCCAAGACTAATGAAGCGAATTTTAACATCCACTACCACCATGACCTTCCATTCAGTCTAAGTTACTCCAGACAATTGTTTGTTCTTTTAAGGAAAATGTTTTTCCAATGATTGTTGCAAGCCCAGGAATCCAACCAAACAACTTACTCCAAATAGAACCTGATACAGACCTTTTACCGTGAATAATTGATCAGCTTTAAGCACAATTGATTAAATAGACCAGCAAAGGAATCAACAGCTGTGGAGGTAAGGGAGGTTGACACAGCTAAGGTACTGACCAGTCATGAAGCCATTCATTGGTTGAGTTGGCTCAGGGCTGAATGGCTTCCTGCTGTTCCTGCATCGCTTTGCAGAGGAATAAAAACCTTGACTGTATTTTGTTCTCCCTTTCAGCGCTTCGATACATCTGCCTCTTAAAAAAGATTCTCAAATCTTCTAAACAACGATGAGGAAGTTAATGCATAGAAGAAGACCAGCCAGTGACTCAGAGAGCTGAAGGGCTCACACAAATGCCGTTTCCTGACTTTAGATCTGGAGAAATTGTGTGGGTTATTTTCTTACTATGAGAAAAGTAAGAAACAAAATATGACCCTAGGCTCACTGAGTGAGTTAATTTGTGCGTAAGTTTTTGTTTAAAATGTGCCCAGTAATCTGGTTTTCCCATAATGGGACATTAGAGTACACAATGCAGTCAGTTATAGCCTCCATCACTATATCCTTTTTAAAAAAAACTGTTCTTCACACAACTGAAACCCATTAAATGAATAAGGTTTGATACATGTTAGCTGCTTGAGTCTGAGCACTTTGACATTCACCTCTTTAAAAATTGGAAATTAAAAGACATTTTTGCAAACTTCACAAATCTACTGTTTGAGATTCGTTCTCCATTTCCAGCAGAAGTTTTTGAGAATGTTGTAGGCAAGGCGCATGCAGCATGGCCATCCTTAACAATTACTTGACAATGTGAAATTACACTAATTGGTATTGTTACCAAAAACCCTGGCTTTAAGTACCTTGGAACTTTCTTGTGAGCATTTCACTTTCTTCACATGTACCACAGCAAAGAGTTCTTGCTACAGAAGCCTGGTGACAAAGCATTGTGTTTTTAACCCCACTGTGGATAGAAAACGTGGAGCATGTTAAACCTATATCCATTGGAGTTTAGAAGAACAAGATCTGATTTTATAGGAACATATGAGATCTTGAGGGAACTGGATAGAGTCAATATCCAACATATGTTTCCTTTTGGGGGAAAACCGAAATTCAAGGACATAATTTAAGATTAAAAGGTCTTCCTTTGAAGCCAAAGATTAGGAGATTTATTTTTCTCTAAAAGGGACATCTGGTAGCCATCTGATCGCACAATAGATATACAGGCCTTTTGTGCATCCCTGATTTTCAGAACTCCATTATTGGTGGCCATACCATCAGATGTAGAGGTTAATGTTCTCTATTTCCAAATTTATCTCTCTCTACCTCTTGTTCCTCCTTTCAAATGCTCATTTTTTTGCCCAGGATTTTGATCACCAGACCTAATAACTTTACAAGAACTCTCTGGAAGGCAATGGAAACAGGGTCAGTGAATAATTTTAAGACAGAATCAGTTAGATTCTTGATAGACAGGGGAATCGAGGGGAGATGGGTATGTGGAATTCAAAACACAATTAGCTGTGACCTTATTGAATGGAAGGGCACTCTTAAGGAAACTAATGGCTTACTACTGCTCCCTTTTCATATGTTCTTGGCTCAATGTCAATTTACATGTGATTATGTTCCCGTAACATTTTAATATGTTAAAGGTTTTCTAATGATTAAAAATACATGTGATAACTGTAGTCAATAACAATTTAATTACTATTCATATTAATGGACAGCACAGTGGCTCAGTGATTAGCACTGCTGCCTCACAGCGCCAGGGACACAGGTTTGATTCCACCCTTGGGTGACTGTCTGTGTGCAGTTTGTGCATTCTCCCCGTGTCTGCATGGGTTTCCTCCCACAGCCCAAAGATGTGCAGGCTAGGTGGATTGGCCATGCTAAATTGCCCATAGTGTTCAAGGATGTGTAGATCAGGTGGGTTATAGGGTCTGGGTGGGAAACTCTGAGGGTTGGTGTGGACTTGTTGGGCTGATGGGCCTGTTTCCACGCTGTAGAGATTCTATGATCTATGATGTGTATTTAGAGCTTGAACTTGCTGCTTATGAGGAGGATATAGGACACATGATCATTGGTTTCTGGAGGAGGGTGGATGAGCACCAGACTAATATAAACATGCAGGGCCACAGAATCTGACTGACCGGTGAGCTCTTCAAAGACTAAAGCTTCAAAGACTAGCCACAGAATCTGACTGACCGGTGAGCTCTTCAAAGAGTTAGTATGGACTGGATGGACCGAATGGCCCGAATGGCAACCTTCCATGTTTGTGATGACTCTGTGATTCCATAAAAACATAAGTTGTTAAAGGGATAGTGAGAGCCATCAAAGAACTTGATACTAAAAAATACAAAATTTTGTCATAAGTGCCAGAAAAAGTGTTAAGAACACATTCATGTAAAATTTGAAAATGCACATATCTACCTGTTGAAGGTGCTGCCAATTGCTAAATCAATAGGCCCACTGTCCAGTTAATGATGTACCTCCCAGTAAATGGCACAAATTTATTAAATGCCACTCTCCAAGCATTACCTTCTCTCTACCTCTTGCTCCTCTCTCAAAATGCTCCATTAAACTGTTTTGCCCAAATTTTTGGTTACCTGCGCTAAACTTCCTCATTGGAACTCTGTCTTGCATGGCTGTGGAATCAGGGCCATTGAGTAATTTTAAAACAGAGGGGAATAGATTCTTATTTGTAAAGGTTATTGGGAGTAAATGGGAATGTGGAATTTGAAGCACAAAAAGCTTCTATTTCCCTGATTGAACTGTATCTTCATTTATCATTTTCCTTTGGAATATAAATAAAATTTATCCTGATTTAAGCTGTTCTTTTATTCATCCTCGCATCCCTTCTGTGCATCTATTTTTGTTTTTATGTTCTCAAGCATTGATCCACATTCATTAATCCCACTGTCCCAACTCCCAGTTAACACAGCGCCAGGGACCCGGGTTCGATTCCAGCCTCGGGTGACTGTCCGTGTGGAGTTTGCACATTCTCCCCGTGTCTGCATGGGTTTCCTCCAGGTTCTCCGGTTTCCTCCCACAGTCCAAAGATGTGCAGGTTAGGTGGATCGGCTACGCTAAATTGCCCATAGTGTCCAGGGGTGTGCAGACTAGCGGGGTTAGTCATGAGAAATGCAGGGTTACAGGGATAGGGTACAGAGTGGGTCTAATTGGGATGGTCTTCAGAGGGTCAGTGGAAACTCGATGGGTCAAACGGCCTGCTTCCACACAGTAGGGATTCTGAGTCTATGAACTCACAAACTGTTGAAGAAGCGTTGTGGGAGAACTAGTACTGCAGAATTTTAGGAGAGAAGTGGGGGGAGGGAAAACATGATAATAGAGAAAAGGGGAAATGGAGAGAAAGATTTTCAAAGAATAAGAGGCAATTTGATTGAAACATATCAGATCCTGAGGGGCTTGACATGATGGACGTCAAAAGGATGTTTCCTCATGGGGGAGAATCTAGAAGTGGGGTCACTGTTTAAAAACAAAAGGCTGCCCATTGAAGACAGGGATGAGGTTAAGTGCTTTTCCTGCAGAAGATTGTTAAGTCTTTAGAACTATCTTCCTCATTAAGGCAAAGACAGATAGCCTCTTGGTAAACAAGGGGATTAAAGGTTAACAAGACAGGAGGGAATGTGGATTTCAAGTTATAATCAGATCAGCCGTGATCTTTTCGAATGGCAGAGCAAAATCAAGGGGCCAAGTGACTTACCGCTGCTCCTGGCTCGTATGTTCACTCCAAGTCTCATTCCATTCAGAAAGTTTCTCAAAAAGATTCGTAGTTTGTCTCTGGTGGCATAACCTTTTAAATGATGGAATTATCCGCCTTGTGACCACTTTCTGTGAGATTGACCCAGCGAATTGTAAGCACAAGAGAAAGAAACAAGGTTGATGGAGATAATGTGGGACTGTCGGAAGTGTAGAAGATGATCAGATTGGCAGAGCAGACTTGAAGACTCAGTTTCCATTACCAATGTTGCTCTAAACAGTTTGGACCTACAGTGTCAGATAGGAACCCCGTAATTTGATGCATCCCCAACACTGATTTGACAAAGGGGACTTTGAACTAGTAGTCCAGCCTGAATTGAAGCAATTTAGAACCTAGAACATAGAACAGCACAGCACAGTGTACAGGCCCTTCAGCCCACGATGTTGTGCCGAACGATTATCCTACTCTAAGATCAAACTATCCTGCATACCTTACATTTTACTATCATCCATGTGCCTATCCAAGAGTCGCTTAAATGTCCCTAATGTATCTGACATTTAATTTAAATTAAGTATGGAAGAATTGTTTTCTTACACACTAAATTTTTCTTTGCAGCCTCTCAGTTATTGTATTTATTGTGTTAGACTCTGGGTCTAGTCAGTGGTGTAATCATTTGATGACTCCTCCCCTGTAAGTACATTGACTACACTTTGTTTCTGGTGTTTCAAAGCCAGCTGGAGTGGCGTGTTCTGATACATGTCCTTAGCTTTCAGATTGGTGCCTTCTCTTATCAGCCTCTTCACTATAACAACATTCCCATTCAGCACTGCCAAGTGCAGTGGGGTCCACCTGAACCTATTGGCAACATTTACATTGGCTTTGTGATCCAGAAGCTTCACTAGACAGCAGAGTCTGCCTTTATGTGCAGCGAAGTGGAGGGGTGTCCACCCTGACACATCCGTGACATCAGGATTGGCGCCACTCACTAGGAGCTCTGAAACAACATCCGCATGGTTGTAGTGTGTCGCCAAGTGCAAGGCAGTCCACTCTCTGTCACCACCAACATCAACATCAGAGAAATTTTCAATTAGCAAGTGGGCAGTTGTTACATGCCCCTTCATAGAGGCAAGGTGCAGGAGCTGTCCAATTCTGTAAGGTCCTTTGGTTGACATTCACTCCATGTTTCAGGAGATGTCTACAGGTCCCTGTGTGACCATTCAGAGCTGACAAAGTGCAAGGGGCTGAAGTGAGAATGGTCCAGGCAGTCAACATCAGCTCCAATGTTCACCAACGGCCTGACAACGCTGAAGAAACCCCCTTTCAGCAGCCAAATGGATCGGTGTCCTAAAGTCAACCTGCATTTTGTTTAAATTAGCTCCTTGCCCAATCAGAAGCTTGGTAATGTTATAATTGCCATGATAGGCTGCAAAATGAAGATGCGTGCGATTGTCCCTGTCCTGTAAATCAAGGCTGGCGTGGCGTGAAGAGAATTCGCACAATGTTTTCATGGCCATTCTGCGATGCCACGTGGAGTGGTAACCACCCATCACGCTCCCTGATGTTGACATCAGCGTCTTTATCCAACAGCAGGCGAGCAATTCTGTCATCTCCGTTCTGAGACGCAAAATGCAGAGGTCCCCAGTTGTCTTCATCTGTGAGGTTAACATCAGCTCCCTCTTCAATGAGTAACATGGAGATATCCACAAACCCATGTTGTATGGCTATAATCAGAGGTGTCATCCCTCTGGAGGTTTGGGCATTGACAGAGCATCCATACTTCAGTACAAGCCTGACAAGTTCTACATCTCCTGTGAAAAGAACCATGCGCAACAAAGTGTAGTCCTCCACAAAATTCATGGCAACATGTTCCTTTTTTAATATTTTCTTCACGTTGTTGAAATCTTGTTCTAGTAGGAGTTGCAGGAGTTCCCTTCTACTGTCAATGGAGAGTTCATCTACCATAAGAAAAAAATATAAGAATGCAGATGAATGGTGCATCATGCTTATGACCTCCAGCCACTAATAGTCTTGAACTTACTGTATTTTAATCTGATCTATATTTTGTATCTGACCTTAGCACTGACTGATTATCAAAAGAAAAAAGTGAAAGATTGAGTGGCAAGAACCAATTTTACTGTAACTTTCTCTGGGCTGGTTCCAGAGCTTTTAGTCTGGGTTTGTCTGTTCAAATAAACCAAGGCCAGTCCACACAATGTTTGCTCACACAGCATTGATTTATATCATATACATGATGATCTGACTTATCCTAAGCTGCTTTAGTTCCAGTCTTCTAGCAGAGTCTCTCTCACATGTCTGTTAACATCATACCATTTTCTTTAATTCATTCAGGGGATGTGGGTATTGCTGGCTGGGCCAGCATTTATTGTCCATCCCTGATTGTCGTGGAGGAGGTGGTGATGAGCTGCCTTCTTGAATCATAGCAGCTCCTTTGGTACAAGGACAAAGCCTAGCAAACCTCCAAGGTCTATTTGCATATATTTAAACCCTATCATTACATCAGGGGATTCATTTGAACAGCTTGAAAAGATGTTGCATGTTTTTGTTCATCTCGGACTTATGTAGGATGAAGATTTAACACAAATCCTGATAGACCTAAAACTTCCCAAGTCCAAATGGACTGAAACAGCCATGCACAAAGATAAGAGAGCATTGAACAGACTGTAAGGGGGCACAGAGTCAAGAGGAGACTATTCTGCTCCTTGCCCATGTTGGTCAGCTAAACCATGGTTGATCCTGTCAATTACCTAACAGTAGAAACTGGCCTTACAATCTGTGGTGTAGCCTAAAATATATGTGGGAAGATATTCCTTCCTTTGTATTTCTGCTAAACTCAAAGATCAGAAGAAACCTTCCCAATAATTGCCAGTGATTGTTCCAAATACAGGGATTGGACTAGACCGGTGCATGATGAGACTGAAGAAGTTTAGCCTCCTACCCTTGTGATACTTCAGAATATATCTGGGCTTGACTTAATCATACAAACACCTCACTGCTAAGAAAACTCCAATAGCTTATTTTCTTTCAATTCATTCATGAAATGAGAGCATTTATTGTCTAGGTGGCGGTTAAGAGTCAACCACACTGCTGTGGGTCTAGAGTCATATGTTGACCAGACCAAGTAAGGATGGCAGATTTCCCTCCCTGAAGGACCTTAGTGAACCAGCTGGGTTTTTTCCCCCAACAATTGGTAATGGTCATCATTAGACTTTTAATTCCATTTTTTTTTCCCCCAGTTGAATTCAAATTCCACTATATGCCATGGTGGGATTTGAGCCCAGGTCTCCAGAACATTCCCTGAGTCTCTAGATTAACAGTCCAGCAATAATACCACTAGGCCATCGCCTCCCTGGCACACTTATAACTGTCTCAGCAAAATGTTAAACTGGTTATCATTCTGACTTGAAGGTTATAACTTCATCTGGTCCAAAAGTGAACCTGATAAAATAACAAAGAAAATTGATTTATGCATAAAAATGTAGTGAATTTGTTTCCCCTGGATTTTAGAGTATGTCCACATTTCTTGTGAAAACTACCCAACTATGAAGGGCATCTCATTCTGATAGTGGCATTGGGCATGAAATTAGATGTCAACCTTTGCTACCAATCTGTCTCTAATGCATCATGTATAACCAGCCACATTCACACAGGGAGATCAGTGAACAGATACCAGAAGAGGTTTAATAAAGTCATTGTGCAACATCATTGGTGCCAACCTCCATCTGACACTTCACCCAAGTGACCAATTTGCATGTGTAAGTTCAGACAATGAAGGTTTAATTTTAAATCTAAGTAGGAAATTTTAATTTTAATTTTAATTTTGATTTTAATTTTAAAATTTCAAAAGATTGGTCCGCTCAATTGGCTAGATGATTGGCTTTCAACTTGGAGTGTTCCAACAGCATGGGTTCAATCCCTGCACTGCCTGAGGCTACCATGAAGGACTCTCCTTCTCAAGCTCTCCCCTTCCTAAAGTGTACTGACCCTTAGGTTTAACTTAACACCTGTCATCTCTCTCTAATGAGATGAGAGCAGCCTTATGTCCAGTATGACTGTGTTGACTTTGCTTATATCACTGTCACCTTCACTGTAAAATAAAATGCACGGTGAGGCCAATAGCATGGGTTCAAATCCCAGACCAACTGATGTTGCTGTGAAGTTCTTCCTCTCTCAAGTGAGAGAGTGGCCTATGTCCCTACGGGTCAATAGTGGCTTTGACTTCAATACAATACAATATCATTTTATTGTCACATGTACTCCATTGTAGGAGTTACCGTGAAAAGCTTTACAATGTCTGCCTTCTTATGGTGACATCTGAGATACAAGGCATTACAGTAAGGTCGGAAATTTCAAATAGACATTACAGCATAACAGCTCAGTGCAGGGCCTTCGCACGTAGTCTGGTTGCCTGCACCAGGCCCTAGCATAAAACCACACCCTAAGGTGGACTTTAGTGCTGTGCAAATGAAATGTGGAGTGGATATCTTCAGAGACAATCCCTTGCTTGTGAGGAAAGTTTGCTTGATCAGTCTGCTTACTGACTTTCTTGTTCATGGTGCCTCACTAGAGATGTCTTGCCCTGCCTGAGGTTACTATTGCCTGGCTGGAGACTGAAGGTTGTTCATACAATCCCTACAGAGGCCACTTGGCCCATTCAGAATGCACTGGCCTCCCAAAGAGCATCCCACACCACCACTCCAATCCCATAGCCCCACATGGTCTTTAACCATAGCTAATCCACCTAGCCTGCACATCCCTGGACACAAGGTAATTTAGCTTGGCCAATCCACCTAGCCTGCACATCTTTTTGGGCTGTGGGAGGAAACCAGACCACCCAGTGGACACAGCCATGGGGACAATGTGCAAACTGCACACGTTCACCCAAGGCTGGAATTGAACCTGGGTCCCTGGCACTGTGAGGCAGCAGTGCTAACCACTGTGCCACTGTGCTGCCTCTGTTGTTTAAGACTGCAATGCTGAGTAGGTAAATCTGTTTTCAAGGGGCAGAATGAGAGTTGCAGAAGAGGAAAATTTTTCAGAGGCAAGAGAAGGGCGGATATATTTCTCAACTGCATTCTCCTGCCTTCTCCCTGTAACCCTTGATCTCTTACTGATCAAGAACTTATCCATCTCTGTCTTAAATACTTGCAATTACTTGGTGCCCACAACCCTCTCTGGCTGTGAGTTCTATAGATTCACCATCCTTTTGCTGAAGAAATTCTTCCTCATCTCAGTTCTAAAGTGTCATCCCTTCACTCTGAGGCTGTACCTTTGGATCCTAGTTTCCCCTACAAGTGGAAACATCTTCTCCACATCCACTCTATCTAGGCCTCTCAGGATTCTGTTTCCTCCTTATCCTTCTAAACTCTATCTTGTACAGACCCAGAGTCCTCAACTGCTCCTCATATGACAAGCCCTTCGTCCCCGGGATCATTCTTGTAAACCTCCTCTTGAACTCTCCAATACCAGAACATCCTTCCTTAGATATGGTGCCCAAAACTGCTCACAATATTCCAAGAGTGGCTTTCATTGCGCCCCCCTCCATTGCCATCTCTGATTGGTCCCAGCTTGGACTAAATGACGAGCTCCTCTGTGGACCCAGAGGAAAGTTGCCATTGTTCTCCTTTTGAAACAAATCACTTTTCTCACCTGCTACGAAAGCAGTTAATTGGGCCAATTTGAAGCCTTTAAGTGTCTGTGACTGACTATTTAAAAGCTTTAATTTATAGTAGGTGTCATCTATGGTCCTTCCCAAACAGAGGAATTGCTGAGGCTTTGAGAGGTGTTGAGTGTCTCTCTTGGGCCAACTCATCCAATATTTGTCCTTCCCACCACTTTACTCTTTACCTCCATGTAGGAAAAATTGCCATTAAACGTCAAAAGGTTTAGATGACAAGAATGAATCTACCATGGTTAACAGATGAGTCACGGAGAACCTCCAATCAAAAACTAAGGTATGCAAAGCAGCTAAAATTGGTAGTAGGCCAGAGTATTGATAACTATTTTAGGAACCCGTGGCAGATGACTCAAAAGCTAATAAGGAGGGAGAAAATTAATTATGAAAGTAAATTGGTAATAAATATAAAAACAAACAGTAAGAACTTTTACAGGTGTATACAAAGAAAGAGAGTAGCTAAAGTAAGTGTGGGGATTTTAGAGGATACAACTGGAGAATTAATAATGAGGATCAAGGAAATGAGCTGGTCACTTAAAATTACAGCCTAAAAACCAGGAAGTCCTTGTTGTAATCAATATTTTTCACATTTGGCCTCAGATTCTTGACATCAGTACAATAAATAAGGTGGACACTACAGCATGTGCACAATGCAAATACTCACCATTACCCCCAGTCTTTGACATCTAATTCAAATTCTGCAATTCAATATTTGCAATTTCAGCAATTATTTTGCCATTCTACAAGAAAGGAAAAGAGATAATACATTGACAAAGTGTTCTAAAATTATTATTATACCTTATTTGCTTTAGTGACACACAATGAGTTGCTAGTCATTTTGTGAAAGTTTGCTGACTAAACTACTGTGCACATCAAGGTGAGAAATGTCAGTGATGAGAACTTTAACACATCTGGAGTTCAGAAGAATGAGAGGTGATATAATTGAAACATAGTTCTTTCAGTACTTTAGAGTTTGTTTGCTCTGGCTAAAGTTTTGAATGAGGGGCTCATATAATCTCAGAATAAGGGGTTGACATTTTAGGACTGGGATAAGGAGAAATTTCTTTCCTCTGAGAGTTGCGAATCTTTGGAATTCTCTACCTTAGAACCTATACTTGCTCAGACATTAAGTGTTGAATTAGCACTACACAGTCATTTAAATCAATTGGTTTGTGTCAATCATTATCCTCCCATGTGTACCGATCTAAAGCTCTTCAGCTCATCCTACCTGTACATCCCTCTATTTATAACAATACGCACACCATCAAGCATAACAATATTCAAAATATGTGGTCATAAAAGAAAGGGTACCATACCTGGATGCTGCTACTTGACGACAGAGGAGCCAGATTTGGTATTTCTGTTTGCCTGTTGACTTGAATATTTGGAGATTGCGACATGCTGTACAGCATTTCAGTTTCCAGAACAATTTCTAGAAAACAAAATGCTTACAAGTTAATTTCTCAAACTATGGATTTGTCAGCTGGTGGTTCCCTAACATTTTCAGTGAATATAAGTGTGGAGCTTCACCATATTTTTTCCCCTAGGAAATTCGCGTATCACTGGTTTGCATCTGCTTTCTGGCAGAACATTGTAACATGTAAATTTCCTCAATCATTGTTCACCTGGGTGACAGTGAACGCAAACATAGCTCTGTGTCCCCTTGCCTGCAACTATGTACAAGAGACTAAAGAACAAAGAACAGTACAACACAGGAACAGGCCCTTCAGCCCACTAAGTCTGTACCAACACATGACACCTTTTTAAACTGAAAACCTCTTGCCTTTACGTAGTCCATATCCCTGTACTCCCTGCCCATTTATGTAGCTTTAAAGAAGCCTCTTAAACATTGCTATTGTAACCAGAGAACAAATTCCCCGCATTTACATCGCTTCTGAATTGATGTAATTTTAATCCTCGGCTGACATGTCTAGACTAAGAGACACAATCTTAGAATAAGAGAAATGCCATTTAGGACTGAGATGAATTTCTTCACTTAGAAGCTGATGAATCTTTCGAATTTCTACCCCAAAGGGCTGTGAAAATTCAGAGATTGAGTGTGACCAAGACAGAAATTGAACCATTTCTAGATATTAAAGGCACTTGGGGATAGCACAAGAAAATGGCTTTGAGGTGTGAATTTATTAAATGGCAAACCAGACACGCAGGGCCAAATGACCTGCTCCTGCTCTTATTTCTACTCTGCAAACAGCACAAATCACCATTCCTGCAATTTTACTGAAAAGCTTGGCAATTGTTTTCCATTCCTGAGATGTACATTGTATTTTTGTTTGATTTTTTTTCTAATGTCAACAAAACCAGTTGTATTTCAACCAGAAGAGCATAATTAACACCTTCATAAACGTGTTGGGCATAATTCGTTACAATTTAATCACTTTCATCATTAATTTTCAAAGTTCAGTAAGATAAAGAAGGACTTAAAGAATGTGAGATAGTAGGAACTGCAGATGCTGGAGAATCCGAGACAACAAGGTGCAGGGCTGGATGAACACAGCAGGCCAAGCAGCATCATAGGAGCAGAGAGGCTGACGTTTCGGGCCTAGACCCTTCATCAGAAAAGGGGGAGGGGAAGGGGGTTTTGAAATAAATAGGGAGAGAGTGGGAGGCGGATAGAAGAGGGATAGAGGAGAGGATAGGTGGAGAGGAAACAAACAGGTCGAAGAGGCGGGGATGGAGCCAGGAAAGGTGAGTGTAGGTAGGGAGTTAGGAAGGGGATAGGTCAGTCCAGGGAGGACGGACAGGACAAGGGGGGCGGGATGAGGTTGGTCGGTAGGAGATGGAGGTGCGGCTTGAGGTGGGAGGAGGGGATAGGTGGGAGGAAGAACAGGTTAGGGAGGCAGGGACGAGCTGGACTGGTTTTGGGATGCGGTAGGGGGAGGGGAGATTTTGAAACTTGTGAAATCCACATTGATACCATTGGGCTGCAGGGTTCCCAAGCGGAATATGAGTTGCTGTTCCTGCAACCTTCGGGTGGCATCGTTGTGGCACTGCAGGAGGCCCAGGATGGACATGTCGTCTGAGGAATGGGAGGGGGAGTTGAAATGGTTCGCGACTGGGAGGTGCAGTTGTTTGTTGCGAACCGAGCGTAGGTGTTCTGCAAAGCGGTCCCTGAGTCTCCGCTTGGTTTCCCCGATGTACAGGAAGCCACACCGGGTACAGTGGATGCAGTATACCACATTGGCAGATGTGCAGGTGAACATCTGCTTGATGTGGAAAGTCTTCTTGGGGCCTGGGATGGGGGTGAGGGAGGAGGTATGGGGGCAGGTGTAGCACTTCCTGCGGTTGCAGGGAAAAGTGCCGGGTGTGGTGGAGCTGGAGGGGAGTGTGGAGCGGACAAGGGAGTCACGGAGAGAGTTGTCCCTCCGGAAAGCAGATAAGGGTGGGGAGGGAAAGATGTCTTTGGTGGTGGGGTCGGATTGCAGATGGCGGAAGTGTCGGAGGATGATGCGTTGGATCCGGAGGTTGGTGGGGTGGTACGTGAGGACGAGGGGGATTCTTTATTGGTTTTTATTGCGTGGACGGGGTGTGAGGGATGAGTGTGATACCTCTTCTGTGCTTTCCATGGGACCAATTCTCAATTTTGATTTCTGTTCATTTACTGCTGGGTTTTAGGTTCAGTTGTCGAATGAAGGTAATAGAAACCAATGTAAATTGTGGTATAGTATTCATGTAATTTGGATTGAGGACAGCCAGACAACGTAAGGGAGAAGAAATAGTTGAAGTAGGACATGCAGCTGCCTTCAGCCTGCTCCATAATTCATTTCAATCCAGGCTGGTCTTCTATCCCAATTACATTCTCTCTGAGCTCATCTTATCAACTGGCTGAGAATAACTTGCATTCTGGCTGCATTTCGAATATGTTTAAATATCAGAGGATTTTTTACATATCTCAGTTATTGTCTTACTTGAACCATCAATTCCACATTTTTGTCCAGTCCACTTCTCTTGCCATCTCACTCTCTGAAATCCCTCAATTACTGTAGGAAGAGTTTTGCTATGTACTTAGTACAGGGATCAGTTTAGTTCAGTTGGCTGGACAGTTGGTTTATGATGTAGAGCACTCCCAATGGTGTGGGTTCAATTCATTCTCCAGCTTGAGGTTACCATGAACGACTCACCTTCTCAACCTTTTCCTCAGCTGAGGCATGGTGACCCTCAGGTTAAACCACCACTAGCCTTCTCTCTCTCTTTGTAATGAGAGAACAGCCCTATGGTCTGGTAAGACTGTGGCAACTGTACCTTTAACTTCATAAATCATAAATACAGGCCAACATCCAACTTCCTCGTTTCATTCCCACCCAGGTCAAGTGAGTAGCTACATTATTAACCAGGCAGCAAGTTAATCTGGTAAGACATTGATGGTAGATCTCTTCAACCAGCAGAAAAGAGAGTGCGATGAGATTTATTACAGGTGCCTTTTCATTGTAAAAACTCATTTCATACAGCTGCTGGCTTCTGTTCTGATCTGAAACAAATCAGTTGGGTTAAGGGCACCCACTTCATAAATTGCTATTGATGTATCAATTTTAGGGCCCATCAAAATCTCTGCTGTTTTTCTAACTTCTACCTAGTCTCACTCACTCACCATCAGACTTTTGAACAGACATCTCAAATGTCAACTCTGATCTCTTTCTCTGTACCTTCTCTGCAGCTGTAACACTGTATTCTGCACTCTGTTCTGCTGCCCTGATGCACTTTGTATGGTACAATCTGCATGTACGGCACGCAAAACAACACTTTTCACTGTATCTTGATACATGTGACAACAATAAATCAAACTTAAAATCAAACAATAAATCAAACTCAAATTGTGCTCATTGACTTGCCTTGTCCCCCACTCCTATAATGCCTCAATTTTAAAATTCTCAACCTCAGATTCAATTCCATTTACGGCCTCATCCTGCCCCCACCTCCATAAGCTCCTCCAGCTATCCAAGAATTTTGAGCTTGTCCTACACCAGTCTTATGAATTCTCCACTTCCTTCGTTCCATTGTTCACAGCTGTATCTTCAGCCCTCTAAGACATCAGTTCTGGAATTTACTCACCATCTCTCTATCCCTCTTTCTTCTCCTTCAAGACATGCCATGTCTGTTTGTCTTGGATTATGGTCACCTATCCTAATGTTTCCTTCTTTGCTTGCTGATTTCCTATTTTACCCATTACGGTCCCATGAAGCACCCTGGGACATTTTACAACAAGCAGAATCTTATAGGGGCCTGAGCAATGTGGGCTATGATGAGATTTGTGACAGAATCAGTTGAGAAATCTGGTGAGACAGAGCTGGACATCGGGAGCACTTCACTGCAGATTTTTTTATGATTTTGACAAGCGGTGTGTGCACATTTCTCATTCAGCAGCGGTGAGTTGCCAATAAAAGGGGGCTATTGCTCATTAAATGTCCTGTTGACAGCCTAACTCACCTCAGATATTCAGATTTCTATCATACTAAACACATTAGACAAGCTAGATGTCAGGAGAATGTGACATGGAAACCAGAGCAGTACCTGCCAAATTCAGCTCACTGCTTGCTCCAAAGGACCTCCATGTTGGACAATGGGATGCAACATCTCAGCACATACTCCCTGGGCACTGGCCATACACACACAATATCCACAAACATTGGCATCTGACATATGCCAGCAACTGAAAAGCCCTCATGGTGCATCTCTGATCCACTTACAAGGTGCATTGATACTTCTGTGTTTCTGTATTCTTCTAATTTGGTTTTAAGATTTTGTACCCAGATACATTGAACCTGCGATGGGTGAAGGACTGTAATGCTGAACTTTTTATTTCTTTATTTTTCTAATCTATTCCTAAAATCTTGTACCTAAGTACCTTTGTACCTAAGATGGCATCGTAAACAGCAATTTTGTAAACTTTACACTGCACTCATGTGAGTACATGTAACAATAAACCTAATTCTAATTCTAATCCTAATTCTAATTCAAAGTTGTACCTTGGGCTACACAAATAACTCTTATTGTAATGTTGCAGCAAGGATACTGTGTGCTCAGGGACACATACCCAGCTCCTGGACTGGATCTCCAAGCTGTTCTCTCACTGTCACAGTGCTCACTCACATTGAACTTGCCTGGATGCTCACACCATCCCAGCCTGGCCTTGCCTTGCCTTTTTGCACTTTGACCCGTATGCCAGAGATATCAGGCTCATTTACTGCTTACTGGCCTTGCAATTTACTGCAGACATAAAGAAAGTAAACATGTCATTGTTGTCAGCAATAATTACTGGTCAACAGACACAGCCTTTGCACAAGGGCTTCTAGCACAGTAAGTCAGGGTAGCCTTCAATATCACTCCAGGAGCTTGGAAACAATGTGCCAGCCACTCAGGGTGGTCAGAGTCATGACGCTCTCCTCACGAAGAGTGAGGAGCTGAATGTCAGGCTGCCCACCATGCATCTTTACTCTTTCGGCCCCATTGTAGGCTGTTCTGCTCCTGAATCAGTGAGAGAAGCAGGTACTAAAGGAGATGAAAGTGGGTGGCTCAGCTGATGGTGCAGGTGGGAAGGTGTCCCGTGGGTATGATTAGGCAACACAAAAAGCATACAGTGCTGTCAGGGGTTGGCATGAGTGAAAGCAAGCGAAGGAAAACGCTGCAGGCAATAGTGAGAGTGGCCGAGCATGAGTCTTGGTGGGAGGTAGCTACATTAGAGGGAGCGGGTGAGTGTGAGAGAACAATGAGAAGACTTAATACTGGCAAGAAGCACCTATGGTGGTAGAGTGGAGAAGGTCATTGACCTTCCTCTGATGGTGCTGGGCCATCCGCTAGATGACTGAGACTGCTGTAACCTGGATGGAAGCCTTACACCAGGCTGGCATGGTCCAGTGTCATTGTCTCTACTGCTGGTCATAGAATCATAGAGGTCTACAGCACAGGTTGGTCCAGAAGGCAGTGGGGAGTGGAGATGGCTGTGTGTGTGGAGAAGCAGCTCTGCACCATGTAATCTAGCTGGACAACCAAGTCCCTGCCCACCCAGCAGGGCACTGATTTCCCACATCTGCTACATCCGGAGCAAATCTCGGGAATCGACCAGGCCAGCTCTGGATTGATGGTACTTGCCATGGTGCACAACGAGCTTTTAACAATGGCGTGGGTGATAGAGATGCTGGCGAATTCCAGGATATCTGCTGATGGTGAGTTGTTCTGGGAATTGCATAAAATAAGCTGGGACTCCGTAGGGGTGGGGTAGGTGATTAATGAGGCAAGTTTGATTAGATATGGTTAGAAATGTCAATAGGCCTCAGGCTGAAATCCCTCCAAAGTACTCAACGCAACTTGAATTTAGCCAAAAAACCCAACGTACAGCAAAATGTTACAATATAAATGCAAGTTATTGGTTTTGTTTTGCCCAACAGTGCAAGCCTAGAGCCAAAGTTAGTGACACTGACACAATGCCAAACTACAAGTAAAAGTAGCCCATGATGGCGCATTCAAGGTTCCTTAAGAAAGTTTATTGTCATTGAACAGGAGGCAATGACAGAGTTACTGGGAGCATGTACTTGTTCTCAGGTGTTGCTTAGTGCAGTTAACTGAAACTTATTTAATAACAGATATTGAAGCTTTGACTGGAATCCAAGAATATGCTGGCAAATTATAAAAAGGTTTGAGTCACCATGGAACAATATGTTAGGAATTCCCTTGTACTACTTGGACATGTCAAATCCAATCATTTCTTTAATCCATGACCCATATTTTCTGTGTATCCAATGTTCAGCATTCTACAGGTTCACAACACTTAAAGACAATCTGTTCCACTAGAAATGAATCTCATGCCTGAGAATGCAGATCGTCTTTTCAGCTCCTGATCCCAACATCTCTTCATCAAGTCAACCATCTGTGCACAGTCTTGTAGAGAATTTTCTGGAATGAGTGTAAGGCACGGTCTCTTTCCTGCCACCACCTTAACAAATACAGCCATGATGTTTGTTCCTGGTATGTGAAGAAACAGTAGGAATCATAACTTCTCAACAATATTAGTTTTGCCTTAAATCAAGGACGGACCATAGCAGGTTGTACCATTACTTGGATAAACAATTACAATACATACAGACAGAGACAGCGCTCTCTCTCTCACACACCCACGTGCACACGCAAGCGCACATGCATGCACACACACGCACATGCACTTACACACCTTTGTGTAGTGTCCATATGCACACTCATACATAATTGTGTTAATAGTGAATAAAGACAGAAGGCATTCTTTGGTTACTTGAGTATAACCTGTATTTAAAAGATCACCTGCATATATGCACTTGAGGTTTTGTAATCTACAGGGCTACAGATCACATCAATGAAGGTGAGGTAGGGATGGATAGCACTTTATGTTGCTGGCACATTTTGACTCATATGAAACACAGTCAGTCATTCATTCCCCTGAATGATTTAAAGTACCAGAGACAAAGAAGCAACAGTTGAGTTTCTGGCTGAAACCCATGGATCTTTTAGAATGCATTAACAAATTTATTTCAGCTCTTACTTGTCCATTAAGGAGGTTTCATCGATGCAGCAGCATGCTGGTTAACATATTGGTGGAGTAATTTATTAATGCATTTTTGTAATGCAGGCATTAACCCATTTATTTTAATTAATATGTTAGAATAGCATTCACACTGGAATTAGCCAATCCACACAAAACTATTTGGAGGTCATGAATCATAATCCATCAAATACTTTGCTGAGGAACAGCTTTGGGCGTTACAGTATACTATTGTGAGAATACACAAAAGCAAACAGACAATATAATGTTATTCCAACTCATCTGCCTTTAACAACGAGAAATTCAAATTCATAAGACCATAAGAAATAGGAGAAAGGGGTAGCCCTCATGCCTGCTCTGCCTGTCACTAAGATCTCAGGATAGTCTCAACTCCAATTTTCTGTCTGTCTCCCTCGCACTGTGCCCCCGTCTCCCACAACACCTCAATCCTTCAATCAAAAATCTGTCTCGCTCAACAATGAACATAGTCAATGCCCCTCCACTGCTCTGTGTTCAACGCAATTCAAAACACAACCAACACTGAAGAAATTTTTCCTCATCCCCATCACTAATGGGAGGCCTCTCACTTTTTAAACTGTGCTGCCTGCTAAATTCTAGGCTTCCCTATTAGAGAAAATATCTGCTCAGTATCTACCCTGTTAAGCCAAAACAGAATGTTACATAGGATTATAGGGCCATACAGCATTGAAATAGACCTGTCGGCCCAACTCATCCATGCTACCAGGTGTCCCCAACTGAACTTGTCCCATTTGTCTGTGTTTGGTCCATATTCCTCCAAACCTTTCCTGTCCATGTACCTATCCAGATGTCTTTTAAATGTTGGAATTGTACCCGCCTCTACTACTTCCTCTGCAGCATATTCCAAATGTAGACCAAACTCTGCATGAAAAAGTTGCCCCCTTTTAAATCTTTCTTCTCTCACCTTAAACCTATTCCCTCTAGTATTGGACTCCCCTACCCAGGAAAAAGACCTTGGCTGTTCACATTTTCCACACCCCTCAGCCTCTGATGTTCCAGAGAAAAAAAATTTCCAGCCTATCCTGCCTCTCCTTATAACACAAACCCTCGAGTCCCAGCAACATCCTTGTTAAATTTTTCTGCATCCTTTCTAGTTTAACAACATCTTTCCTATAGCAGAATGACCAGAATTGTATGCAATGTTCTGAAAGTGGCTTCAGCAATGTCTGTACAGCTGCAACATGACGTTCCAACTCTGATATTCAATGTGCTGACCAATGAAGGCAAGAGAACCGAACATCATCTTCACCACCCTTATCTACCGGTGATGCCACTTTTAAGGAACTATGAACCTGCATCTCTGGATCTTTCTGTTTGGCAACACTGCCCAAAGCCCTACCATTAACTGTGTAAGTCATGCTCTGGTTTGCCTTACCAAATGCAAGACCTTGCATTTATCTAAATTAAACACAAACTACCAATTCTCAGCCAATTGGGCAATCTGATCATGGTCTCATTTTGCTTTTTGATAACTTCCTTCACTGTCCACTATGCCACTAATTTTGGTGTCATCTGCCAATTTACTAACCATATGTCCTATATTCACATCCAAATCATTGGTATAAATGACAAACAACAGTGGACCCAGAACTAGTACATCTGATTAATTGACTATTAATCCAGAGACCAGGTAATGTTCAGGGGACCTGGGTTTGAATCCCACCGCGGCAAATGTTAGAAATTGAATTCAATAAAATTTTGGAATCAAGAGTCTATAAATGACCATGAAGCCATTGTTGATTGTCATAAAAATCCACTTAGTTCAATAGAGGCCATCATTGATGTTATTGAGTTGAAACATGTGCAACGTGAATACATGTTTCTTTCTGTCTGCAGAAATAGGTCCCTGTGTATTAATATCTGTAGCTTCCAGTATGCACAAATATGCTACACAGTTTTACAGTTAACTGTCAGTCATCATTTACTGATGGAGGCTCTGTGTCAACTCCACCAATCAGAGTCCACCTAAAATTAATCATGAGTTATTAGAGACTGTACTGCCTGCATAGGGCTTCTGCTGAGTCAGGACTTCCCACATAATGATCGAAAAGCTAGAAGGATAAAAGACTCCAGTTAAGTTCCCTCAAGGCAGAAAAGAAAGTTATGACATCTTAAACTGAACGAACAAGTGACTGTTTTATGCAATACAATGGAAACAATTTGCATTTATGTAGTGTATAATACAACATAAAAGCAGAAAGTTCTGAAGAAACTCAGCAGGTCTGACAGCATCTATGGGGAGAGAAACAGAGTTAATATTTCAAATCCGATATGATTTCTCTTCAAATACAACACAGAACACCCACATCAGACTCAAAACATTAACTCTGTTTCTCTCCCCACAGACACTGCCACATTTGCTGAGTTCCTCCAGCATCTTCTGTTTTTATTTCAGATTTCCAGCATCCACAGAATTCTGTTTTCATGTGCATTTGTTAAGCAACTTTAACATAGTGGAATGTTCCAGGGTGCTTTACAGGTGCATTAACAGACAAATTTCACATCAACAGGGGGACTGGTGCAAAATGCTTAATCAAAAATGTAGGTTTAATGGGAGAAAGACAGTAATATAGGCAGAGAGGTGTTGGAGGGGAATTCCAAATGTGAAGGCATGATCGCCAATGGGAGCGTGATTATAATTGCACAAGAGGACAAAACTGGAGAAATACAAAGAACTGAAAATATTTTTGGCTAGAGGAAGTTACAGAGATGGGCTTGTGTTAAGCCAGCAGGGATTTGAAAATGATTTCAGAAAACAGTAGATGGAATGTGCCAACCCATTTCCAGGAAATTTGAATACAGAAATAAAGATGTCTTGCTGCAGTTGTAAAGAGCCTTGGTAAAGCCTTATCTAAGTACTACGTTCAGTTTTGGCCTCCGTATCCAAGGAAGGGAATACTTTCCATAAAGGGAGTACAATGGATGTTCACCAGACTTTTCCCTGGGATGGTGTTATTTTCTTATGGGGAGTGAGCAGATTGGGCCTGTATTCTCTTGAGTTTCAAAAAATGAGTTGATCTCATTGAAACTTATAAAATAATTACAGATGGATGTTTTCCTCCAGTTACTGATTCTAGAACCAAGAGATTGAATCTCAAAACAAGCAGTTGGCCATTTAAGATTGAGATGAGCAAGAATTTCTTCAATCTTTGTGAATTACTGTGGTGAGTAACTCACCTCCTGACTCCTCAAAGCCTGTCCGCCATCTACAAGGCACAAGTCAGGAGTGTGATGGAATATTCCCCACTTGCCCGGATGAGTGTACCCCAAAAACACTCAAGAAGCTTGACACCATCCAGGACAAAGCAGCCCACTTGATTGGTACTACATCCACAAACATTCACTCCCTCCACCACTGACGGTCAGTAACAGCAGTGTGTACTATCCACAAGATGCACTGCAGAAATTCACCAAAGATTCTCAAACAGTACCTTCCAAATCCACGATCACCTCCATCTAGAAGGACAAGGGCATCAGACATATTGGAACACCACTACCTCCAAGTTCCCCTTCAAGTCACTCACCATCCTGACTTGGAAATATATCACTGTCCCTTCGCTGGCGCTGGGTCAAAATCCTGGAATTCCCTCCCTAATAGCATTGTGGGTCAACCCACAGCAGGACTGTAGCGGTTCAAGAAGGCAGCTCCTTCTCAAGGGCAACTAGGGATGGGCAAGAAATGCTGGCCAGCCAGCAACACCCACATCCCACAAATGAATAGAAAAAAAATAACTGCACAGAGGCTGGTATCCCATCACTAAGTCACCCTTTATTTACATGTGGACAGTACATCAGCTCTGACCCAGCCAGCTCAGATCCAGTCCTTAGAATGAGGAGATTCTCCAAATCTCCTGTTTATATCTGTCAGCCAGGGCTCCCTGATTGGCCCAGGGTTAACAGCCCCAATCAGGGAGCTCATAGTCAATTAGATGTACCTGGCCTTATTTCCAATCACTGCACTTTGGAATTTTCTACCCCAGAGGGCTGTGGAGACTCAGTCATTGAGCAAGTTTAACACAGAAATTGATAGGTTTCTGGAGACTAAAGACATTAAGGAATATGGAGATAGTGCAGGAAAGTGGGATTGAGGAGATGATCTAGAATGGCAGGCTTGATGCACTGAATGGCCTACTCAAGTTTCTATGTTACTAAAACAATTATGAAAATTTTTGAATGAGGCAATACTTAACCAGGAGTCTATAATTAATCACTGGTGAATGATATTACTACTCTGTTGTCTAACTAGTGCTGGTGATGTAAGTCACTGTGTGTAGGCTTGAGACTTTCATTTCTCTCTAACATTTTAAGGAATTACCATTTTAAGGAATGTACATATGGTCAAACAATGTAAAGCAAACTATTACAAACTACAGACTTACTGGAGAAAGAAGGATGAAAGGACAAACAGAAATAAATGCATTTGTATAGCAATTATCATGACCTCAGGACATACCAAACACCTTCCAACAATGCAGTAGTTTTGGAATATAGTCACAGTTGTGATTACAGCAGCCAATCTGCACACAGCAAGATCCCACAACCAGTAACATAATACTGAGCAGATAATCTGTTTTAGTATTAATTGGGAGATAGATGTTATAGTGAACACTGGAAAGAATTCCCTGCTCTCAACTGAATAGTGTCATTAGACCTTCAATGTCCACCTCATCTTAAAGACAGCACCCCTAACAGTGCAGCACTTGCATGGCACTGTGCTGACATGCTTAAAACTTTCAAGTAGAACTTGAAAACATGAATCAGTCTCACTAAACGCTCACCTATAAACATCTTGCTTGATTCCAGAAGGTCTATTCAGTAGTTCAGGTGGCATATAACTGATGGCTCCTCTTGTCACTGCCCTTTCAATTTGTTCTTTAGTACTCAAATAATCTTCCCATTTTGATAATCCAAAATCTGCAATCTAAAACATGCATATTGTTTAACATTCACATATCAAACCTAAATGTCTTTACAGTGGTAAAACCCTGTCATGGATTTGTTCGTCTGGGACTGTGCTTTCAGATCATTTCAGGGGTGCAGAGAAAGAAGTATTTAGTATTTTGGCCCCATTACACTCTCTACAGGCAACTCTGCTCACCAAAATTCAAACAGATGACTTCACACTTCTTGCACTAATATTGACATATCGTCTTGAAGTAGCCCCTCACCACTTGTTGGAAATTGGACTTCTCTTAAATAATAGCTAAAATATAATTTGCAAGTTCTCTGTACAACAAAAGCAGATTAAATTGAAAATAAAGTACTTAATGCTGGCAGCTCATCTCTTAGCACCACTATTGTTCATTTGATATTGCTGAATACTGTGCTGCCTCCCTGCAGAAAGTGACACTTTATGAATTAATTTCTCCAGCAATGTCTTTCTGCTACACCAATCTATAACATTGTTTGCCTTACAGATAAGTTTAAAATTGCTTAAAGTACCATCTCTGAAAGTGCAGCACTCCCTCATTACAGCTTTAGAATGTCAGCCTGTATTATATGCTTAGGTGTCTGGAGTGGGACTTAAACTTCTGACTCAATGATGGAAGAGCTTAACCTTACACCTAATTATGAGTGCTCTTGTGGCCTTCACTCTGAGCATGAAGGCCTAGGTTCAAATCCTATCCATTCCAGTGATGTGTTAGAACACATCTAAACAGGTCGATTAAGAGAACTGTGTTTCACGTTCCACCTACTCCAGAGCTATGTCTGAACATGTTGACCAAAACTATTTGTACTTCATTCAGACTTGAAGCACAGTTGTAATTTAGGAAATTCAGCAGCCAGTTTGCATTTGGCAAGTTCCCACAAAGAGCATTGTGATTCTAAGAAGATAATCTGTTTTGATAATGTTTATTGAAAGATAAATGTTAAACAGGGCACTCTCCTGCTTTCCTTTGAATCCTGCTATTGAGCCATCCGACAGGACAGATATGGCCTCTACAAAAACCTGAATTTAAAATCTCAGATACAAGTTAGAATATTTAAGATGCAACCTTGATATGAAGATTCTCATCTACCAGTACATTTCCAGGTTTCAGATCCAAATGAAGAAGGGGTTGGTTCATACTATGCAGGAAATCCATTCCCATTGCCATCTCATGAATAATCTGAGACTTCATCATCCAGGTTAGTGTGTACCTGACAAGCAGTTTATCCAGAGCACCATTCTCCATGTATTCCATTACAATCCCAGCCGGTCTTGTACAAGTCCCATATATTGGCAGGATATACTTGAACTTTATTTCCAAAATCCTTGCTGCCTCCTGCAGCAGATGGCTCATATTCCTGTAACAAAAGCTCATGAAAAGATAGTCATAATTATCCATTTCCTCAAGTAATCCTGCTATGAATCATTCTTATATTCCACTTGAAATATTAACTCTACCCAAATTTTTATTGAATTAATTCACAGAGTGAGCATCATTGGCAAGACAAATGTTTATCTCCCATCCCTAATTGTCCTTGAGGAGATAGTTACAAACAAGCAATAAGGTACTGAATGCAAATTCCTTTGATGTGTTAACACTGTATGAGCCAATCAGGATGATTTGTTACTTGCTAAAGTATGACATACATAAAAATTTTAATTTTATCATGAAAACTTAAGGCAAAGATTGTGAACCACTTACTTTTATTATTCAAAGAGCTAGCATGGATAAATTTACACCACAGAAATATACTATCAATCCCAACTGGGTCATGCTAATAGAAACATAGAAAACAGAGAAAATAGGAGAAGGAGTAGGTCATTCGGCCCATTGACTCCATTCCACCATTCAATATGATCATGGCTGATCCTGTATATCAATGGCATGTTCCCACTCTCGCCCCATACCCTTTAGCACCTTAAGCCTTAGAACTCAATACATATGTATTTGAAATCTATTGAGTGACTTTACCCCCACAGACCTCTGTGGTAGAGAATTTCACAAGTTCATCACCCTCTGAATGAAGGTGCTTGTCCCAATCTTAGTGCAAAATGGCCACCTTGTCCTAGATTCCCTGGGTTCATCATCCCTGCAGGCAGCCCTGTCAGAATTTTTCTGTTTCAGGGAGAACCCCTCTCATTCTTTCAAATTACAGTGAATTAATGACCAGTCAACCCAATCTCTCCTCATAAGACAAAAACTGCCTTGCCAGGAATCAGAAATTGCTGGAAAAACTCAGCAGGTCTGACAGCATCTGTGGCGAGAAAGCAGAGTTAACATTTCAGGTCCAGTGACCCTTCCTCAGAAGATGTTGACCAAAACGACTTGTACCGAATTCAGACTTGAAGCACAGTTGAAATGTATGAAGTTCCCACAAATAGCAATGCAATGCTAAGCAGTTCTTAAGAAGGGTGACTGGACCAAACATTAAGTCTGCTTTCTCTCCACAGATGTTGCCTGACTTGCTGAGTTTTTCCAGCAATTTCTGATTTTGTTTCTGATCTCCAGCATCCCTAGTTCTTTGGGTCTTTGTTTATCACCCAGGAATCAGTCTGGTGTTTATGTTGACTCTTCACTGACTCTCTTCATCTAATCCCATCAACATATCTTTCCAGTCCCTTCTCCCTCATGCGTTTACCTAGCTCCCCCTTAAAATAGATCTATGATACTTGCCTCAGACAGATTGTCAAGGATCATTAAGGCAGTTCACCACCACTCCAACAAGAGACCTCTTAATGGTAGGATCCTCAGAAGTGTTGCTGAATAAGAGACCTTGGGGTGCAAATTCATAAGTTCCTTGAAAGTGGAGTCGTGGGTAGAAAGGTTAGTGAAGAAGGTATTTGGTATGCTTAGCTTTATTGGTCAGTGCATTGAGTATAGAAGTTGGGATGTCATGTTGTGGCTAGAGAGCACATTGGTTAGGCCACTTTTGGAGTACTGCATTCAATTCTGGTCTCCTTGCTATAGGAAAGATGTTGTTAAACTAGAAAAGGTTCGGAATAGATTGCAAGGATGTTGCTGAGGTTGGAGGATTTGAGCAAGAGGGACAGGCTGACTAGGCTGGGCTATTTTCCTTAAAGCATCAGACGCTGAGAGGTCACCTTATAGAGATTCATAAAATCATGAGGGGAATGGATAGGTTGAAGAGCCAAGGTCTTTTTCCCAGGGAAGTGGAGTTCAAAACTAAAGAGCATAGGTTTAAGGTGAGAGGGGAAAGATTTAAAACCGACCTAAGGGGTAACTTTTTCACACAAAGGGTGGGGCTTGTATGGAATGAATTACCAGAGAAAGTGGTATAGACTAATACAATTACAACATTTAAAAGGCATCTAGATGAGTAGATGAATAGGAATGGTTTGGGATATCCACATAGTTGACTGACAATGCCCTTAGGGAGGGAATTCCAGGATTTTGACCCAGCGACAGTGAAGGAACTGCAATATATTTCCAAGTCAGGATGGTGAGTGGCTTGGAGGGGAAGTTTCAGGTAGTGGTGTTCCCATGTATCTGCTGCCCTTGTCCTTCTACATGGAAGCGGTTTTGGGTTTGGGAAGTGCTGTCTAAGGATCTTTGCTGAATTTATGCAGTGTAGATGGTTCACACTGCTGTTACTGAACGTCGGTGGTAGAGGGAATGGATGCTTGTAGGTGTGTTGCCAATCAAGCAGGCTGCTTTGTCCGGGATGATGTCAAGCTTCTTGAGTGTTGTTGGGGCTGCACCTATCCTGGCAAGTGGGGAGTATTCCATCACACTCCTGACATATGCCTTGCAGATGGTTAACAGGCTTTGGGGAGTCAGGAGCTGAGTTATTCTGCTGCAGAATTCCTAGCCTCTAACCAGGTACAGATACAAGAGGGCATAAGAGAGGACATCTCTATAACCCTGAAGCCTTCAATCCCAGTTCCATGAAATCTGGCATCATTTTGACATACGAACATATGAACAAAGAACAAGAAGTGGCTATTCAGCCCTTCAAGCCTGGGCTGCCATTCAACGAGTCATGGCTGATCTGATTTTAACCTCAAATCTCCATTCCTGCACATCCCTGATAATCTTTCATTCCTTTGGTAATCAGGAATCTATCTACCGCTGCCTTAAAAATGTCTAAAGATTCTGCATCACCTGTCTTCTCTGAGGAAAGGAATTCCAAAAACTCACAACCTTCTGGGAAAATTGTTGTTTTCCTGTCTTAAATGGGCAACCCCTTATTCTTAAACTATCACTCCTCGTTCTCGATTCTCCCACAAGAGGAAGATCCTTTCCGTATCCACCCGGTCAAGTCCCATCAGGATCTCATATGTTCTAATTAAGTCACACCTGAATCTTCTAAACTCCAGAGGATATGAGCTTAGCCTGTCTAGCCTTTCCTTATAAGGCAATCTGTTCATTCCAGAGAGTAATCCTTCCCTGAACTGCTTCCTAACACCCTTTCAAGAAGTACAGTGACCAGTTCTATACACAGTGCTCCAGATGTGGGTCTCACAATGCCCTTTACAGCCGAAATGTAACATCCTTACTCTTGCATTTAATTCCCCTCCCAACATAGTATTCTGTTAGCTTTCTTGATTACTCGCCGTACCTGCATACTAACTTGTGATCCATGCACTAACACATCCAGATCCCTCTGCATCTCAGAACTCTGCAGCCTCTCACCATTCAGATAATATTCTTCGTCAAAATGGACAATTTCACATTTTCCCACATTGTTCTCCATTTGCCAGATCTTTGCCCATTCACATCACCTATCAATATCCCTTGTAAACTCCTTATGCCTTCTGCTTTTGGCTCATTATGCACATGGCGAGTAGTTATTATTACAGTAAAACACTGTCTTTGTATAAATATTATTAACCAAGTTTAGTTGCTGTTTAATGGAGTATTAATTACCAGTTCATATCTTCCTAAATAACTAGTTTATCATGAACAAAAACAAAGTTGCCTGAAAAGCTCAGCAGGTCTGGCAGCATCTGTGAAGGAAAAAACAGAGTTAACGTCTCGGGTCCGGTGGCCCTTCCTCAGAACTTCCTTCACAGATGCTGCCAGACCTGCTGAGCTTTTCCAGCAACTTTGTTTTTGTTCCTGATTTACAGCATCCGCAGTTCTTTCAGTTTTTATTTAGTTTATCATTATCTTACTTTGATCATATTGACCATGTTTAGTTGAATCATCTACAGAAAAGACCGTACCAAAAAGGAACTTGCTTCACACCATTAGCCATAATGACTACTACCTACCTCTCAAAAGAAGATGATTTCTCACAGAACAAATGGCAGCATTTCACAACCAGGTTCACCCTCCACAGTTTGTGTTTTGCTTTGAAGACTTTGCAAAGCCTCCTGACGCAATCTTATTGAATGATTCGAAGTCATCCTCAGTGAAATAGTTGATGTTGGTACACGGCTGCTGGAGAAAAGGGCTCTTGGGCTCACCTGCCATTATGTGAGGAAAAAGCAACTTCAAACACTGGCAACTGAACTTCCTGGTTCAGATCCTGGGTGGTGCACCAAGTGTAAAACGAAACCAAAGTGTCTCAAGGCAAGGATGTTGCAATTCAGGGAATTAGCAATTAGTAAATTGAGTAATATGTTCAAAGGAAAGAGGCTTGTTGTCAAGCATTCCCATTAATGAAAGCACCAGTTTGTTCACTAGATTAACTGAACTAATGTGGACTTTCCTAACCAGAACATAAGGGGCAGAAGCTGGAGTATGTTCTTCACCCATTCATGTTTGCTCCACTATTATTACAACTGGAATTCCATCTCAACTCCAACTTCTTGCATTGTCCTCATAGCCCTTGGTTTATTTAATATTCCAGAATGTATCGTCCCTTTCTTGAATAAACTGGATATATATGGAGCACACAGACAGGATCCAAAAGAATATAATCTTTTGACTGAAGGAAATTCTCTCCATCTCAATCCTACATGGCTACCCTCTTAATAAGACCATAAGGGGTAGGTGCAGAAGTAGGCTGTTCAGCCCATCAAGTCTGTTTTGAGATCATGGCCGATCTGATAATTCTCAACTCTGCTCTCCTGCCTTTTCCCCACAAGCTTGATTCCTTTACTGATTATAAGACCATAAGACCACAGGTTATCCTGAGATTGTGACCCCGTTGTTCTGGACCCCCCAGCTATGAGGATCAATTTCAGCAACCATATCTTGAGCACATTGAAAGTGTTATGTTTTGTTGCCAGCTGTGAAGGCTGCTAACATCTCCTCTGGGTGATGGAAAGTTCCCACATGCATAAAGGGGCTTCCTGTATCACTATGATACAATAGAAAGCAGCAGCTGGTCTCAAAGATGGCACTACCAGGAGTTCTGAAGGTTTGGTTTTGGCCAGAAGTTCTGTATGATCCGTGATAACCTATGGTCTTATGGTCTTATAATCATGGTAACTACAGAGTAGGTCTCCTCAGTTGCTGCTCCTTCACTGCACTCACCCTGCTGCCTCAGGGCAGACAAAAATGGAAACCGAACAAACCAGCCACAAGTCACAGAGTTTTAACTTCCTGGAAAGAGGCCCTCCACTCCATCATGTCTGCACCACAGTCATCAGACATCCATCTATTCTAATCCATGTTCTCGCACTTGACCCATAACCTTGTATGCCACGGCATTTCAAGTAATCATCTAAATGCTTTTTAAATGTCTTGAGGGTTCCGGCCTCTACCTCCATTTTAGACAGATATCTTCTGGGTGAAAATATTTTTCCTTGAAACCTCCTGCTCCTTAATTTAAAACTGGTTATTAATCTATCTGCTAAAAGGAAAGGTTTCTCCCTATCTACCCTGTCTATGCCCCTCAGAACTTCGTAAACCTCAATCAGGTCCCGCTTAGCCTTCCCTGTATTAAGGAAAATAAACCCAGCCTATCCAGTCTCTTGTCTGGAGCTTACAGGACAGCAACAGGCCATTTGGCCCACCCGATTTATGCCAGCAGTTCTCACTCCTCGGGTTTATTGAGTCATGTTGCAAGATTCAGGGCTAAATTCTGAGGGTCACCGGACCCGAAACGTTAACTCTGTTTTCTCCTCCACAGATGCTGCCAGACCTGCTGAGCTTTTCCAGCAACTTTGTTTTTGTTTCTAATTTACAGCATCCACAGTTCTTTTGGTTTTTATTCAGGGCTAAATGTTGGTCAGGACACTGGAATCAACCCCTCCACCCCTTCACCAAATGGTGCCATCGGTGTGAACCTAAGAGAGGGCAAACACCTCCTCTGTAAAGCAGCAGATCTTACAGTGCAGTATCCATCAGTACCACACAGGGAGTGTCAGCCTTGCGAGTGGATCTTCCATGTGACTCAGAAAGAGTGGGCTTTCCATGTGACTCAGAAACAATAGAGTTTCCAAATGAGCTAGAGCTTGACTTCAAATATAAAGCAACCCAGAAAGTATCAATAAAAAATCATAAGATTTGGGTCATCTGCTACGTTATAAAGTGCATAGTCATTGGCAGGGCCTCTTTCTTGTAGCACAGTTGTTTTGTGGTAAAATAAACCTGTGCAGGGTCAGGATTTTATCACTTTGACACATTATGGGAATGACATTGTATTGTAATGAACTTTTATCTGAGATCAGGATCTGAACGTAGTGAAGAACACAGCCCAGTCCATCACGCAAACCAGCCTCCCATCCATTGACTCCATGTATAATTCCCACTGTGTCAGAAAAGCAGCCAACATAATCCCATTCCAGTTGTACTCTCTTATACCCTCTTCTGCCAGGCAGAACATATAAAAGTTGTATACATGTACAAACAGATTCAAGAACAGCTTCTTCCATGCTGTTTCCAAACTTTTGAATGGACCTCTTTAATGTTAATGTTGAACTTTTGTCTGCACCTTCTCAGCAGCTGTAACATTGTATCCTGCACTATGTTTTGTTACCCTGATGCATAGTACGATCTGTCTGTAAAGTATGTAAGACAACATTTTTCACTGTATCTTGGTACACATGACAGTAATAAATCAAATTGAAATTTATCTATAATGCAAGAACAGATTAATAGCAGTTGATGGTAGAAGTCACCATAGTCCTACTGGACTGTAGGATTCAAAGATAATCTTGAAGAAGCAGAAACACAAGATTGTTTTACGTGACAAGATTCAAGGTGTGATTATTCCAAAAACACTGTGAAACTTTAGTGAACTGAAGAATGAAGAAGGATCACGGGATCTGAAACATTAACTCTGGTTTCTCTCCAAAGATTGTGCCAGGCCTGCTGAGACTCTCCAGCATTTTCTGTTTTTGTTTCTGATTTCCAACATCTACTATTTTTTTTGTTTAATGTTCCAATACCAGTTAGTCCCCTTTGGAATAATCAGAAAAGTTTGAGAACTATGTATGAGTGGAAAAATGACTGGAAGTTTCCACTTTTTCCTTGATGATGTCTCATTTTCTCTAGGTCAAATACATGGCCATATGTACCTGCATGCTAGCTATGCCTGTCTCTTTCTGAAATATGTGGAACAATGTTTGGCCAGTCCTACTCAGACCCCCTACCACAGCTCTTTCTCCAATACATTGATGATAATAATCAGTTCTGCTTCCTGCTCTAGCCCAGCATTTGAAAAGTTCATCAGTTTTGCTTCCAATTTCCATGCTTCACTCACGTTCACCTGGTCCACCTCTGATTCTACCCTTCCTTGATTTCACTGTTTCCATTTCTGGTGATAGGCTGTCCACCAATATCAATTACAAATCCACCAACTCCCTCAGTTACTTTGACTACATGTCCCCTCATACCCCGCTTCATGTAAGGACTCCATTCCATTCTCCCAGTTTCTCTGTCTTTGTCGCATTTGTACTGATTGTGCTACCTTCCAGTGGGCTGCCTCTGACATGACATTGTTCCTCAGCCAAGGGTTTATCCCCACAGGTTGACAGGGACTTTAGACTTGTCCAACCCATTTCCTGCATTTCTGCCCTCACCCCTTCCTTTCCCTGCTGGAACAATGATAGCATTTCCCTTGTCCTCAATTTCTAACCCACCAGTCTCTGCATTCAAAGGATCATCTTCTGCCATTTCTGATATTTCCAATAGGATTCCACTACCAAACACATATTCACCTCCCCTCCTGGCAGCATTCCACAGGAACCATTCTCTCCAGGACACTACGGTCCACTCTCTGATCACTCAGAACACTTCCTCACTATCGTTGGCACCCTCCCATACAATTGCAGAAGATGTAATACTTGCTCAATTCCCCCACTCCTTATCCCCCCACTGGCCTTTTCACACTTGGATTGACCCTACTTCATATCTTTATCTCTCCTTCACCACCTTTATCACTTCTTAAGTCTTTTGCACTGCACCCGCTCATCATCTGTTCCCCTCAGTCTTCCTCCCCCTCTGTCAAAAGCATACAGATCTCAATTTTCCACATCCTTTCAGTTCTGAAGAAGTTATATTGGACTTGAAGCATTAACTTTGTTTCTCTGTCCACAGAGGCTGCCAGATCTTTCTGCTTTTATTACGGGAAGCCTCTCATTTAGGAACACAGGAACAAGAAGGCCATTCAGCCCATCAAACGTGTTATGATATGTAATGAGATTACAATGCATCTGTGACCTAATTCCATATTCCCGCCTTTCCTACATATCCCTTAGTACCTTCTGCTATTTAAAATAACAGCTAAAATTTAACAGGGAGGCGATGGCCTAGTGGTATTATTGCTGGACTGTTAATCCAGAGACCCAAATAATGTTCTGGGGACCTAGGTTCAAATCCTGTCATGGCAAATGGTGGAATTTGAATTCAGTAGATAGCTGGAATTAAGAATCTAATAATGACCATGATACCATTGTTGATTGTCAGGAAGCAAACAATCATCTGGTTCACTAATATCCTTTAGGGGAGGAAACTGCCATCCTTACTTGGTCTGGCCTACATGTGACTCCAGACGCACAGCAATGCAGTTGATTCTTAACTGCCCTCTGGGCAATTGGGGATGGGCAATAAATGCTGCTTGGCCAGCAATGCCCTCATCCTGTTAATGAATAAAGGAATATATGAATTTCAGACTTAAAATTCATTGGTCTAGCAATGAACTGTCATTTTCAGCCAAGAGTTCCAAACATATACTGCCCTTGCTGTGAAAAAAGTGTTTCTTCATCTCCCACCTGAACAATCTAGCCTTAATTCCCTAACTAGCAGAATTTGTTTCCTACAGTCTGCACTTAATATAAAACTGTGGATGGTAGAAATCTGCAACAAAATCAGGAAGTTCTGGAGAAACTCAGCAGGTCTGGCAACATTTGGGGAGAGTAAAGCAGAGCTAATGTTTGAGTCCAGTGAGAAGGAATTTCTCTAAGAGCATAGTGAAGCTGTTAAATTCTTAACTGCAGATGTCTGTCGAGATTAGATTGTTAAATTAATCCAAGGCTGAGATAGACAGATTTTTAATCAAAACCAACATTTATAGGGAAGAA